AAGACATTGTGTGATATAAATATAACAATAAAGTCTGGCACGCTGACTGCAGTGGTGGGTCCAGTCGGCGCCGGCAAGAGTTCTTTATTGCAATTGATTCTTGGAGAATTGCATTCGACTCATGGCCACGTGACAGTTGGGGGATCAGTGTCATATGCTAGTCAGGAGCCCTGGCTATTTGCTGGAAGTGTGAGGAATAATATACTCTTTGGACAGCCTTACGATGAGGCGAGATATCGTCAAGTGGTGCGTGCTTGCGCATTGACCAAGGACTTTATACAACTTCCTCAAGGTGATAGAACACTGGTGGGTGAGCGTGGTACGTCACTCAGTGGTGGACAACGCGCTAGAATTAATCTCGCAAGAGCTGTTTATCAAAAAGCTGATATTTATCTTTTCGATGATCCTCTGTCGGCTGTTGACGCACACGTTGGTAGAAGTTTGTTTGAAGAATGCTTCATGGAATATTTGGCGGATAAAACGAGGATTCTAGTTACTCATCAGGTGCAGCACCTCAAGGATATCGATTTCATCGTCATGTTGAACCATGGAGTTGTTGAGAAGCAGGGGAGTTCCGAGGATTTTGGGCAGGATGATTTCGCAATACTGCATGTTGATGACGAGGTGGAGCAAGAGGAAAAGGAGATGAAGGAGGACGCATTTGGTAACGGGAAAGGACCTTCAATCCCTCAAGTGTCTTACTATTCGAGGGTTGATAAAGAGGAGAAGGAGGAAGTCGAACCCAAGGAGACGGAAGAACTCATGGGCAAGGGGAAAATCTCAAAATCACTATTTTGGAACTACTTCAAGTCCTCTGGCAGTTATTTTCTTCTTTTCATGTTTTTTGTGTTTTTGCTGCTGGGGCAGTTGGGGAGCAGTGGCTCGGATTACTGGGTTGCTTATTGGACTCGCCAGGTGGACTTGCAACAGACCAGTGGAATCGCGCAGAACTATTCTTTTAGAAATGAGTCTCTCCACACTGTTGACGATGAAAATGCCACGTATTTTGGAAATGGATCGACTCCCTCGATCAATCCAGGAGTTTTCGGACATATTGATCATCATTATGACAATAACACAGCACTTTGGATTTATGGGATATTGGTAGCAGCATGTACTATTTTCACAACAGCTAGGAATCTGGTGTTCTTCAAAGTTTGCATGAATGCAGGCAAAAATATCCACGATCAAATGCTCAGATGTTTGCTGCAGGCACCAATGAGGTTCTTTAATAGCAATCCTTCAGGTGAGTGATGATTTAGAATGACTGCATTTTTGCATAATTTTGCGGACCGATTGAGCTCTGTACAGATCTAATCGCAGTATTACTCTACAGGACGTATAGTCAACCGTTTTGCCAAAGACGTAGGATGCATTGATGAACTTCTGCCGAACGCGGTGTTAGATTCTATCCAGATATTTGCAGTGATGATCGGCATATTATCTCAAGTGCTCATCATCAACTGGTGGACCGTGTTCCCAACAGCAGTGGTGGGCTACTTCTATTGGAAAATAAGAAATTTATTCTTGGCAACTGCGCAGGATCTGAAACGACTGGAAGGAATCAGTGAGAGATTCAAATATTTTCAACACAAATTTGCTTATCAATTTGTGAATATTCTTGGTATGGAGCGTTTACTTTGATGATTTCAGCAAAGAGTCCAGTTTTTTCTCATGTCAATGCCACACTCGCCGGATTGACGACCATTCGATCCGCTGGGGGACAGGAGATGTTACGAAAGGAATTTGATAACCATCAGGATGTTCACACCAGTGTTAACTCGTTGTTGATCTCTACTTGTACGGCTTTTGGGCTTTGGCTGGACGCTGTGACTATTGTCTTCGTTGCTTTCATCACTTATAGTTTTATCATTCTCAAAAATGGTAGCAATCATTAATTTTCTTCTCATCTCATCGTAGAAATGTTGATTCAAATGTCATTATGTGAATTTTGATTATGCAGATTCAACATTCGCTGGAAATGTTGGCCTGGCAATATCCCAAATTTTGATTCTCTGTGGGATGGTTCAAAATGGAATGCGTCAGACTGCAGAAATGGTGGCGCAAATGACATCAGTGGAGCGTGTATTACAGTACACTAGATTGGAGAAGGAAGAGCCCTTCGACAGTGAAGTTAATTCAAGGCCACCAACAACTTGGCCGCATCAGGGACGAATTGAATTTGATCACGTCTACTTGAGGTATTCCGTCGACGATGCGCCAGTCTTGAAGGATTTGAGGATTTGTATAGAGCCGGGCATGAAGGTAAATCAAATCGGAGAGCCTCATCAGATTATCAGTGAAACATTTATTACCGAATTGATATCAGTTTTGGGATGAATGTATAATTTTTGCTCGATAAAACTCTACGTGATACTCAAGATAAGATAAAATAGGGATTGTATCGGCACAAGCGAAGAAAAGAGTGATCAGAATGATGGCGATATAAGAAGCTTTCATTTAAAAATCGGTACAGAGTAGAATTTTTTGCGATAGTTATGACGTTATGGATTAGACCTGATGTCCTTTAAAAGCAGTTGCAAAATATCATGTGATAGTTTTTTCTCTAATTAATGAATAATTCAGTAGCGAAGTCGTAAAACGGTTCAAGTCGACTTAGCTCTCATCTACGTTCTTGAGGAATATTTCCGAATATAAAAGAGATAACGAAATTTTTATAATGACCTTTTTTGTAGAGTTAATTGAGTGCTATAGAAAAGATCTTGTCAAAAATTTTGGTATCTGCCTTAGATTCTGAGATGTTCATTGAAAACTGGAAAATAGTCAAAATCAACTTAACCAGTTTTACCAGTTCGTTACTGAATTGATTTCTAATGAAACTGAAGTTAATCTTCTAGAAAATAATTAGAACATTAACGATGTTGATTCAGGTGGGAGTTGTGGGCCGCACGGGGGCTGGTAAATCATCACTCATAGCAGCACTCTTCAACTTAGCGAAACTTGAAGGTGCTATTCGTATTGATGGAGTTGATACAAAGAAGATCGGCCTGCATGACTTGAGAAGAAAAATATCCATAATACCACAGGAACCAATGCTATTTTCAGCAACACTGCGTGATAATTTGGATCCCTTCCATCAATTCAAGGACGATCAACTCTGGGCTGCTCTGGAAGAAGTGGAGCTGAAGGATCACAGTCAGTCCCTGGATTATCTAGTCACCCAAGGTGGTACCAATTTCAGCGCTGGCCAGCGACAATTGCTCTGTCTAGCCCGAGCTATTGTCAGGAATAATAAAATAATCGTACTGGATGAGGCGACTGCCAACGTTGATCCAGCTACTGACGCTCTCATACAGCGAACAATTCGCGAGAAATTCAAGGACTGCACAGTTTTGACGATAGCACACAGACTCAATACTGTTATGGATAGCGATCGAATTCTCGTGATGGATTACGGTCAAGTTGTGGAATACGATTCTCCTCACGTGCTCTTACAAAAAGACGGGTACTTGACGAGAATGGCGAATGAAACGGGTGCTGCTGTGGTTGATAGATTGAAAAAGATAGCGGAAGGAGCTCAGAAACCAATCGCTCCGCATACGTAACTTGACAAATTTGTTCAAATGACTAGTGAAAATCCCACGTTCAGAACAATCTTCAGTGAGTCACTGTAATAAATTGGTCGGAACTATGCAATAAAGACTGTTGTGCATTAACAAAAAATTAATTACTGTATATAATACTTATTTCACTTTATCAAGCAACGATTCCACATAAATTTGTACCTACTGTTGCAATGGAAAATATATAGCAGAATGTCAAGAGGGTTACACTTCGTTTGATAAAGAATCGCAGAGATAACGAGCTGGCAGTCGACACCAATCATTGGATTTTTTTCGGATTTTATTAACGCAGTAGTCCATTCAGTCTTGGACGTGAAAGAGAGCCAATGGTGCTCTACTTAAGGTAATTTTGTCGGGTTGAGGAGATTAAAATGGACAAGCGTACGGAATACGACAACCCAAGCCCTCGAAGAAGTACAAATGTCCTGGGGCGATTATTTTTCTGGTGAGTTTCTGTTCAAATTCAGCAAGAGCCCACGTATGAAAAAATTTAACAAAAAACCGAGCGAATTTACTCAGAAAAAATTTGCATTTTAGTTCCTGAGATACAACAATTTGTTTAAATTTCGTTTTGGCCTTCAAATTCAGGCCATTTCAACGGCTGAAACCCATTAAATACTCGATATTTTATAACGTATTTAACCCCAGGTGGCTGAAGCCATTATTCGTTTATGGAAGGCGAAATGATTTGGAGGTGAAGGATCTGCATAATACGCTACCTCCTGATCTCAGTGAACCCCTTGGAAACACTCTGGAAGCAAATTGGAATGAGGAGGTTGCTGCAGCATGTCGGGCAGGGAGAAAACCAAAATTCTTTACTGCAATCAGGAAAACATTCCTGTGGTCGTACATGTACTACGGTGGACTATTATTTTTTAGTTCAATATTGAGGTAAAAATACTGAAAGAGAAAGAGAAAAATCCATTGGATTTCCATTGAAGTTTCTATTAATTTGTCTATTGAAATTTTTTTTAATGCAAATGTTCAATAGAAGATATTCTTATTATTTTCTACAAAAATTCCTCGGCTCAAATTTCCTTTTTTTTTCGTTTCATTTTTTTAATGAAAAAAGGGGGAAAATATCGTAAAAACACTTGCGAAATTCATGTCGAAGAATTTCTACAGAAAATGTTTCAATAAAAAACGTTGTACAGAAAAATGGAATTCCGCGGATTTTTTTGTAAAATATTTTCTATTGGAGATTTTTCGTCTGTTTTAAAAACGCGCTGTAAAGCTGCGGAATTCTTCAATAAGATCGGCCAAAAACTAATGGTAATTTTTGTCTATAACTATTTCACTAGCGAAGTGGTAAAACGGTAAGTCAATTTTGACTATTGACCAGTTCTCAATGAATATCTCGGAATCTAAGGTAGATGGCAAAATTTTTGTTAAAACCTTTTTTGTAGAGCCGACTGAGAGCTACAACAAATGTAACTGCGAAAATTTCGCTATCTCCCTTAGATTCCAAAATATTCCTCAAAAACTCAACGTGGAGATGAGTCGACTTAAACCGCTTTACCACTTCGCTACTGATTTATTAACGAAGTTAATGGGCATTCAATGGAGTTTTAAAGTTCTACGGATTTACGGTTTTGATTTTAGTGTATTGCAGCCCTACGTACTCGGCCTTCTTACCAGCTTTTTTGCTCGGGACTCAACGATCACGATACAGGAGGCGTATACGTATGCGTCACTAGTCGTAATAATGTCAGCAATTGTGGCTCTGATTGATCATCATTCGAACCTGGGACAGTTGGAGATGGGAATGAGATTGCGAATAGCGAGTTCTTCCTTGATCTACCGAAAGGTTAGATTTATGTTATGAAATAGTGAAATCATTATTCAGCGTGAATCGCAATCTCACACGTATGAAAAAATTTAATAGAAAACCTTAGCGAATTCGCTAGAAAATTTCTATTGGAAGTTCTAAAGAACTCTCCGAGTGAAAAATACATAGGAAATTCATGCATTCTTAAAGAAAAAATTCCAAGATATTCATATAGAAAAATGGAAATCTATTGACTATTCCCTATCAAATATCTCTTAGAATATATATCCCTAGAATTTTAATAGAATTCCAATAGAACTTTGTAGCGAATTCGCAGAGTTTTTCTATTGAATTTTTTCATACGTGTATCAGCCCACTTTTGCGACAGATTTTGAAGTTATCCAGAAGTTCAGCAAACAGAACCACCAGTGGTCAGATAATAAATTTATTATCCAACGATGTAGCAAGATTTGATCAAGTATTCACACTTCTTCACTCTTTATGGATAATTCCGCTTCAGAGTGCAGCGATAGCATATTTAATCTGGCAGAATGTAGGAATGGCAACTCTGGCTGGAATTTTTCTCCTTCTGATGCAAACGGTACCTGTTCAAGGATACCTGAGTGGACTGACAGCTAGACTTCGGGCTAAAGTGGCAGTGCGCACTGACGAGCGTGTGCGACTGATGAGTGAAATAATAACTGGAGTACAAGTGATTAAAATGTACACGTGGGAGAAGCCCTTCCTCCGGTTGGTTTCACTCGCGAGGAAACACGAGATTGATGTTCTCACTGTAATGTCATACTGGAGAGGAACAATACGAGCATCGCTGGTGTTCACGGAACGAACAACTTTGTTCTTCACAGTAATGACGTATGTGCTTTTAGGGCACACTATATCAGCAGCCAAAGTCTTCTCCATGGCGCAGTATTTCAATCGTCTGCAAGCCGGAGCGGCGTTTTACATTCCAATGGCTGTGACATATGCATCAGAAGCAACAGTCACGATTAAACGACTGGAGAACTTCCTGTTACTGGAGGACAATCATCCACTCGCAATTGAGCAAGCACCGGATGATGCAGCTTCAATAAGAATTGAAAAAGTCACTGCCTCTTGGGATCAAGAGTCAATAACGAAGACATTGTGTGATATAAATATAACAATAAAGTCTGGCACGCTGACTGCAGTGGTGGGTCCAGTCGGCGCCGGCAAGAGTTCTTTATTGCAATTGATTCTTGGAGAATTGCATTCGACTCATGGCCACGTGACAGTTGGGGGATCAGTGTCATATGCTAGTCAGGAGCCCTGGCTATTTGCTGGAAGTGTGAGGAATAATATACTCTTTGGACAGCCTTACGATGAGTCGAGATATCGTCAAGTGGTGTGTGCTTGCGCATTGACCAAGGACTTTATACAACTTCCTCAAGGTGATAGAACACTGGTGGGCGAGCGTGGTACGTCACTCAGTGGTGGACAACGCGCTAGAATTAATCTCGCAAGAGCTGTTTATCAAAAAGCTGATATTTATCTTTTCGATGATCCTCTGTCGGCTGTTGACGCACACGTTGGTAGAAGTTTGTTTGAAGAATGCTTCATGAAATATTTGGCGGATAAAACGAGGATTCTAGTTACTCATCAGGTGCAGTACCTCAAGGATGTCGATTTCATCGTCATGTTGAATCGTGGAGTTGTGGAAAAGCAGGGGAGATTCCACGATTTTGGCCTGGATGATTTTGCATTGTTGCATCTTGATGATGCACCGGAGCCAGAGGAAAAACAAAAGGAAATTGGAACCGACAATGGGGAGGTGCCCCAACTCTCGCAAATGTCTTATTTCTCGGGGATTGATAACGACGAGAATGAGGAGGGGGACGAGCCTGAGGAGACGGAAGAATTGATGGCCAAAGGGAAAATTTCAAGGTCACTATATTGGAAGTACTTCAAGTCTTCTGGCAGTTATTTTCTTCTTTTCATGTTTTTTGTGTTTTTGCTGTTGGGGCAGTTGGGGAGCAGTGGCTCGGACTATTGGGTTGCTTATTGGACTAATCAGGTAGAATTGCAATACAACAATGGAACCATGCAGAATGCAATGAATTCATCAGGTTCTGGACGCATTCACCATCATTATGATAATTATACAGCACTCTGGATTTATGGAATATTTATAATGGCATGTACTATTTGTACAACAGCGAGGAATCTAGTCTTCTTCAAAATTTGTATGAATGCAGGCAAGAATATTCATAATCTCATGCTGGAATGTTTGCTGCAGGCGCCAATGAGATTTTTCCATAGTAACCCCTCAGGTGAATGATGAATTTCGATTATTCCAGTATTTTTGCATTACTTTTCAGATAAATTTAATCCTCCGTAAATCTAAATGATCTAAACATTACTATTCAGGGCGTATTGTGAATCGTTTCTCCAAAGACGTCGGATGTATTGACGAACTCCTGCCAAATGCAATGATCGATTCGATTCAAGTGTTCGTGGTGATGATAGGAATATTATCCCAAGTGCTCATTATCAACTGGTGGACTATATTGCCAATGGCAGTGATGGGCTACTTCTATTGGAAAATAAGAACTTTGTTCTTGTCAACTGCGCAGGATCTGAAACGACTGGAAGGAATCAGTGAGAGATTCAAATAATTTAAACACCAATTTGCTTATTAATTTGTGAATATTCTTGGTATGGAGCTATTGCTTTGATGATTTCAGCAAAGAGTCCAGTTTTTTCTCATGTCAATGCATCACTGGCTGGATTGGCGACCATTCGATCAGCTGGGGGACAGGAGATGTTGCGGAAGGGATTTGATAACCATCAGGATGTTCACACCAGTACTAACTCGCTGTTGATCTCTACTAGTACGGCTTTTGGTCTTTGGCTGGATGCAGTGACTATTGTCTTTGTTGCTTTCGTCACTTACAGTTTCATCATTCTCAAGAATGGTAGCAGTCATTAATTTTCTTCTCATCTCATCGTAGCAATGTTTATTCAAATGTCATTATGTGAATGTTCATTATGCAGATTCTACATTCGCTGGAGATGTTGGCCTGGCAATATCTCAAATTCTGGTTCTCTGTGGTATGCTTCAATATGGAATGAGCCAGACTGCACAAATGGTGGCGCAAATGACATCAGTGGAACGTGTATTACAGTACACTAGGTTGGAGAGGGAGGAGCCCTTCGACAGTGAAGTTAATTCAAAGCCACCAGCAACTTGGCCTCGTGAAGGACGAATAGAATTTGATCACGTTTATTTGAGATATTCAGAAAAAGATGCACCTGTTTTGAAGGACTTGAATCTCATTATAGAGCCAGGCATGAAGGTAATTTTAAACTTGATGTCCTTTAAAAGCGGTTATAAAATACCACGTTATAGTATTTTTCAATCAATGAATAATTGATTTCTAATGAGTCTCAAGTTAATCTTTGAGATAATATGTGAGAGAGACGGTGTTGAAAAATAATTAAAACATTAACGATATTGATTCAGGTGGGAGTTGTGGGCCGCACGGGGGCTGGTAAATCATCACTCATAGCTGCACTCTTCAACTTAGCGAAACTCGAAGGAGCCATTCGTATTGATGGAGTTGATACAAAGAAGATCGGCCTGCATGACTTGAGAAGAAAAATATCCATAATACCACAGGAACCAATGCTATTTACAGCAACACTGCGTGATAATTTGGATCCCTTCCAAGAATTCAAGGACGATCAACTCTGGGCTGCTCTGGAAGAAGTGGAGCTGAAGGGTCACAGTCAGTCCCTGGATTATCTAGTCACCCAAGGTGGTACCAATTTCAGCGCTGGCCAGCGACAATTGCTCTGTCTAGCCCGAGCTATTGTCAGGAATAATAAAATAATCGTACTGGATGAGGCGACTGCCAACGTTGATCCAGCTACTGACGCTCTCATACAGCGAACAATTCGCGAGAAATTCAAGGACTGCACAGTTTTGACGATAGCACACAGACTCAATACTGTTATGGATAGCGATCGAATTCTTGTGATGAATCACGGTGAAATTGTGGAGTATGGTTACCCTCGTGAACTCTTACGGAAACGAGGTGGGTATTTAACGAACATGGCTAATGAAACTGGAATTGCCATGGTTAATAGATTGAAGGCCATTGCTGAGGAGACGTGGAAGAGAATGAATCACAATGTTAGTGCAAAACCTGTGTAAAATGTAAAATCAACTTCTGTGCAATCAATGTAAACGTGTACGGAAAAATTCGACTGACTAAATGAAGAAAAAAGATACTAAAAATATGGTAATGTGAATTTCTGGTAATTTTTTCTCAATTATCGTTAAGGTACGGAAGATTATGGAATGAAATAAGTGAAAGAACGCTAAATTAACCGGAAGATTGGTCTGGGTTAAGAAGAATCAATTCCTCTCCTCAACAACACAAAATTGTCAATATGTGCCAGCAATCACTTTTCGCTTAAGCATCGGCTCCCAACGAGAAGAACCTCAACAACACCATCTACTCTAATACAACGTGATTACCCTTTTCTGACGAAAAATTCTCCGCTGTCCTTCGACCATCGAAATATCACATGGAGTAATTGGGTTTAAAATAGCTGTGAAATCTCTGAAAATATGTACTCACATAATCCCTCCCTTATCGATGTCGTAATCACCCCATTAAAATCCATATATAAGATGTCAGAATTAATTACTTCTGCATCTATGGACTTCATCGTCAGAGAGATGTTAAATAATTTTTCAGTCCTCAAGCCAAATCAGCACATAAATAACAACTCGACCCTCGTCCCAGAGACACATCTCATCACAACACCGAAACACGACTGAATAAAATCTGATCTGTCTGCATAAAATTCAATAAATTTCCCCACTCTTCGCCCCCTCCCTCTTTTTTCATGTACTAGACCTCTGATTGGATAGCGATTTTTTTAAACATTATTTGTACCTATAAGTCCTGGTTTGATAAATTATAAAAATTAATTTGGAGTCATGTATTGCAACACTACCCAAAATACATGGTACTGTAAAAAAAATTAGTCAAGCATAACAAATGAAATGATCCTTCGTAATATTGTGTTGTGGCCCTGAAAAGGGCCGATGGTTATTATTGAGCGATTTAAGAGCTGCTCTTCTCGGTCTTCTTCGGCAACAGAACTGCCTGGATGTTCGGGAGAACACCACCCTGGGCAATAGTAACTCCCGAGAGCAATTTGTTCAACTCCTCGTCGTTACGAATGGCCAATTGCAGATGCCTTGGTATGATCCTGGTCTTCTTGTTGTCACGAGCGGCATTGCCTGCCAACTCGAGAACCTCGGCCGCCAAATACTCCATGACTGCAGCCAGGTACACTGGGGCTCCAGCGCCGACACGTTCTGCATAGTTTCCTTTACGCAGGAGACGATGAATACGACCCACTGGAAATTGAAGACCGGCCCTGCTGGAGCGCGTCTTAGCTTTGCCCTTGACTTTTCCACCCTTGCCACGACCAGACATGATTGCAGAATTTCAAATTGATGTTTACTCGGCAAGAGATCGAGTTGGAATAATTTTTCGGGACGGTTCGCCCCCCCTTTATAGCCTTAGACGCATGGACTGCCGAGCCAATAGGAGCGCGCCACCGTGACGTCACGACTCAGCGTGCAGTTGATTGGCTCGGCGCTGTCGACGCGAAGTTTATTAAAATAAACGGCTTTTCTAGCGAAATTCACATTTCACTTCTGTTGCTCAGTCAGTGAAGAGTATTATTCAAAGACAATGCCACCCAAGGTTAGCGGTAAAGCTGTGAAGAAGGCTGGAAAGGCCCAGAAGAACATCGCCAAGGGCGATAAGAAGAAGAAGCGCAAGAGGAAGGAGAGCTACGCTATCTACATCTACAAGGTCTTGAAGCAGGTTCACCCGGACACTGGGGTCTCCAGCAAGGCCATGAGCATCATGAACTCATTCGTCAACGACATTTTCGAAAGAATTGCCGCTGAAGCTTCACGATTGGCTCATTACAACAAGCGTTCTACCATCACTTCTCGGGAGATTCAGACTGCTGTTCGTTTACTACTTCCAGGAGAGCTGGCTAAACACGCCGTCTCTGAAGGCACCAAGGCTGTTACTAAATACACAAGTTCCAAGTAAAGTGGAACAACACTAAAACAATCGGCCCTTTTCAGGGCCACCAAACCTTTCTAACGTGGCACTTACATTTCCAAAACAGTCGTAATTGCTTTTGTGTTTTATATAGTGTAATTATTTTTGCAAATGAATTAGCATTTTTCACTCTGAAGACAAAATTAGTTGTTGTTACCAATAATTTTAACAGCACTTTATTTCATTCGATTTTAAACTATTTTGAACTTCAATGAAATATTTTATTAGAATATTTTATTGTTCTCATTTTTATTTACTTTTTTTCTTTAATTCGTTTTCCATCAGAAAAAAATTATGCGCAATTCTATTATTGTTGTACAAATAAATAGACCTGTGTACCGTTTTCGTCACTGTCAATTTGTTTGAAACAATCAATTGAAAAAATTCCGTCATATATGTTTATCATTTCTTAATATATTGGATATTGTAAGCAATTGGCGAAGAGAGATTACATTCGTTTGAATTATTTTGTGGCCCTGAAAAGGGCCGATTATATTGTTCTCAAGTTATTAAAAACTTAAGCTCTCTCTCCACGAATACGACGAGCCAGCTGGATGTCCTTGGGCATGATGGTTACTCTCTTGGCGTGGATGGCGCAGAGATTGGTGTCCTCGAAGAGACCAACGAGGTAAGCCTCGCTGGCTTCCTGAAGAGCCATCACAGCAGAACTCTGGAACCTCAAGTCGGTCTTGAAGTCCTGGGCGATCTCACGAACAAGTCGTTGGAACGGCAGTTTACGGATGAGAAGTTCTGTGCTCTTCTGGTAACGACGAATCTCACGAAGAGCAACAGTTCCTGGCCTGTAGCGATGGGGCTTCTTGACCCCTCCAGTGGCTGGGGCACTCTTACGAGCGGCTTTGGTAGCCAACTGTTTCCTGGGAGCCTTTCCTCCAGTGGATTTACGGGCAGTTTGTTTGGTACGAGCCATTGCGTCAAATAATTGCTTTCAGGGATGAGCAAAACGAATGAATCGAACAGTTAAAGAGCTGTTATATATACTATCGTCCTTCAGTCTCATTGGTTCGAGGCGCCGGAGAGGGAGAACTAACCGACGTTGCACTATTGGTGTTTTCGAGAGCAGTGGGAGAATGTCCTACGCAACATCTATAAAACCGCGACTGCTTCACCTTTGAGCATCACAAGCTTCGGCTACTCTCACTAGTTTTGACGTGTTCATCAAAGCCAAGTAAAAATGACTGTTCGCGAAAGGGAGGAAAAGAGTTGGGAAAGGAGGAGCCAAACGTCATCGCAAAGTCCTTCGTGATAACATCCAGGGCATTACCAAGCCAGCCATTCGTCGTCTCTCTCGTCGAGATGAAGTCAAACGTATTTCAGGATTGATTTACGAAGAGACTCGCGGTGTACTCAAGGCCTTCCTTGAGAACGTCATCCGTGATGCTGTCACCTACACCAAACACCCCAAGAGGAAGACTGTCACCGTTATGGACGTTGTCTATGCCTTGAAACGTCAAGGACGTACTCTTTATGGTTTGGGGCTTAAGATCAACATCTGCGGAAATCAAACAATCGGCCCTTTTCAGGGCCACCAAAAATACACTTAACACTAATATTAATGTTAATGTTAATATTAATGTTAATGTGCACTTTGACATTAATATTTGCCTAATTTTAGTACTGAAAACAAGAACTGAGTAAATAGTCTTAATTTGACACGACTAATGATGTCAACTCTATTTCATCAGACAGTTGTATTCAAGAATTAAAATTGATAAATATTGATGTAAATCAACAATTGATAGAAATTGATAGAATTGAGTTGAAACAATACTTCTTCAATTCTACGCATAATTTTGCTACTCTCAAACACAGTATCTGAAAAACAACCCCTCGTCAAGGTTCCATGGTGTAATGGTTAGCACTCTGGACTCTGAATCCAGCGATCCGAGTTCAAATCTCGGTGGGACCTGTATTTTTTTTTCATCATCATCACCTTTTATTAAACTGCTCAGTATTATTTTATACCTAGCGAACTCGAACGAATCAACAATTGTTTAAATTGTCAGAACGTTCGAAATACTCAACGCGTCGTAATTCTCTACAACAATCAGTGCAACTAGCGCCATCGATCCAAGCGGATCAGCTGCAAACGCTCGAGAGCTAGAAACCCAACGCCCGGACAGCGTTCTCACGACTATTAATTACGTTTCCTCAAACATCTTTATTCACCAGTTGAAAGTGAAGTTGAAGGTTCACAAACCAGTGCTGAAAGGTAAGCATTCGGAATAAAACAAATGTAAAGTTCTCCCAGGCATTTCAATCCGTTTTATCGTGGCCTGAACTCTCTTTTAACCTCTGAATTTCCAACCACAATTCACTGAACTAATGTTTTTGTCTCAGGAAATAAACAAACAATCGGTCAAGATGAGTGCACGACTGCTGAAAGATCCGAACACCGTGAACTGTCGTATCTTCATAGGCAATCTGCAGACCGACGAAATGACGAAAATGGAGCTTGAGGAGCACTTCTCCAAGTACGGGACTGTCATTGGAGCCCTCACGAATCGGGGATTTGGTTTTGTGCAGTTTGAGAACGAGGAATCCGCTCAGGCTGCTATCAGGAATGAGGCGGGACAGATGCTCAAGGGACGGCGAATTGGTATGACTTTTTTTAATGGTGGATTTGCACGTGTGAAATAATTTAATAGAAAACTTTAGCGAATTTTCTAGAAAATTCTATTGAAATTCTCTAGAAATTATATGAGAATTCTATTAAAAATTGTATTATTATATGAAATTATTTAATTATATGAGGAATTCGTATGACTTTTTTTAATTGTGCATTTGCACGTGGGAAAAAATTTAATAGAAAACTTTAGCGAATTTTCTAGAAAATTCTATTGAATTTCTCTAGAAATTACATGAGGAATTCTAGTAAAAATAGTATTATTATAGGAAATTATTTAATTATATGAGGAATTCGTATGACTTTTTTTAATTGTGCATTTGCACGTGTGAAAAAATTTAACAGAAAACTAGCGAATTTACTAGAAAATTGTATTAAAATTCTCTAGAAATTATATGAGAATTCTATTAAAAATTGTATTATTATAGGAAATTATTTAATTATATGAGGAATTCGTATGACTTTTTTTAATTGTGTATTTGCACGTGTGAAAAAATTTAACAGAAAACTAGCGAATTTACTAGAAAATTATATTGAAATTCTCAAGAAATTATATGAGAATTCTATTAAAAATTGTATTATTATATGAAATTATTTAATTATATGAGGAATTCTATTAAAATTCTGGGGAATTCTCGATAGAACTCTATTTATTTTTGCGCAGATTCTGTTAGATATTTCATTTCATTTTCCTGTTTTTTTCTTGAGATTTTTTTTCTTCAAATTATTGGACACGGGTTTTCCAGATTTTTTGAGAGTGAATAATTGCCGTAATAATACCGTTAAATTATTAAGTAGTCAATTCGTTAATATCACCTATCTTTCGAATGTTATCTGGATTTTTTTCATCTTTCGTAATCCAAAATCGTCAATTAAGTGGTACATCACGTAGAAATTCCCAAAAATTATGATAGAATAATAAAAAAAATAGAAAAAATTCTGAACTTTTTCAAACAGCGTTTTTAATTGGGACTCAGAACGAGTTGAAAAAAGTGGAAATTAAAAATATCTGATTCGCTGTGGCGAATTATCTATTGGCTGTCATTTTCCATGGTGGATAACAAAACACTAACTCCTCATGGGAAGGACAGCTAGGTATCTCAATTTTCAAAACAGTGGTATGTAGTCATCTGCCATTTTGATGTGATAAAAGTGTGATTAAAAAATTCTCCAAAATATGACAACTTTTTTCAGAGCCTTTTCCGTAATAAAAGTCTCTGTGCAGTGTGGGAAAAGACGCCGCCATTTGTCCCCGTAAATCAGATCCATTTTTCAATTTCTTATTATTCAACTTATTCTTCATACAAATTAAAAATGCTCTTTGAAAAAATTAAGAATTTTTTCTTTTTTTCTTATTCATTCATAATTTTTCAAAACTTCTGCATGAAGCAGGACTTGATTGACAATTTCAGATGACGAAAGATGAAAAAAAAATCGAAATAACGTTCGTGTAATAACAATGCCCCCTTGCAGACGTGAAGCCAGCGAAGAAGGACGGCAACACCTTCAGCAATCAGCAGCAGTTCTCCAACCGCAACCCCCAGCAGCGCAACAGCTCCTTCGCCCCCTCCAACCAGAGTTTCGCCCCGAAGAACCAGAGTTTCACCCCCTCCAACCAGTCGTTCAGCAGTTCGACCCCCCAGAACTCGTCGTTCGAGGATCCCCCCAAGCCCTCGGAGAACCCGCCCCAGGATGACTTCGCCGACGATCAGGAGGACGAGGAGGTCGAGGGGGACCAGAACTTCTCCGAGAATCAGAACAACAACTCGTTCAACGAGAATCAGGACAAGGACGACGAGTCCTTCAGCCAACAGAACTCCAACAGAGCCGACGAGTCCGGTGGCGGTGGCAGCATCTCCGGGGGGAACTCCAACGGCTCCAACGCCAACAGCGGAGCCAACAGCAATCAGGGAAAGGGAGGGAATCAGAATCGCCCTGGCAACAATCAGAATCAGAATCAAAATAAAAATGCGAACAATCAGGGGGGCAATCAGGGAGGCAATCAGACGAGGACGAGGGGCAATCGAGGTGGGAAAAATAGGAATAAAAATCGTGACAACATGGGGGGAAACAACTTCAGGGACAGGAGTCCACTGAATCGGGGGAACAGAGACGACATGCCCAGGGACTGGGAGATGAACAAGATGAGGGGCAGTGGCTTTGGCCCCAGGGACTACAACGAGCCCGTCGGCCGATTCGATGATCGCTTCAGGGACATGATGCCTGGGCCCAACGTCAGGCCGATGGCACCGCCCGACTATCCTCCTGTCGTTGAGAAAAACGACTGTGAGATCATCGTTGTGCACAAGAGCTTGACTGAGTACGCTGAGGCCATCGAGGCCAGGCTGAAGAAACTCGGACTCACTGTTGATCTGCTGTTTCCCAATGAGGAGGTGTCACTCAGTCGAGTGCTAGGGAATATCGCGAATCGAGGCTGTTTGTATGCTGTTGTCGTGGTACCTATCAATCTGGAGCATCACTCGTTGACGCTTAATATTCTGCATGGATTGCCGCAAGGTGAGGGTTTTCATTCATTCAGTATTTTGGAGATGTCCGAATGATCAACGTGTGGGAAATTAATTTTGTTTTTCATAAAACAGGTTTTTTGAGGATTGGCAATTTGATTCTGAATGGTCATTCAGCATTTTTTATTATTTTGTTTGGTTGAATTATTTTTCTTCTTTGATCAATTCTGATAGATTTCTTGAGAAAATTCTTGTATAAATCAAATGGAAGAATGATGCTGCCTATATTATTTTGAGACTTCCATAAAATAGTATTAGAAAAACTTCTTTTATGCATAATAAAATGAATTCACTTTCAGAAAAATTTTAGCAAAATCTCAAATTCCCAAAAATCATCATAAAAATTAAATCGACGGCTGTAGCTATCGTAATGATCTTCGAACTCGGTCAAAGGGACATCGAAATATTTTTTTCAGTTCATCACTCTATAAATTCAGAACATTTTTTCAGCTATCGCGGGACAACCAATTTTTTCAGAAATCTAAAATTCTAAAAATTAATATATGAATTGAATTTTGAAATAATAACGAAAAGCGGATGAATTTTCGTGGGAAATTATCACGCGATGAAACGATTAACTTCCAGAACACCGAAATATGCCAGTGGAGGACGCCCTGAACCTAATCAGTCGTGACTTCAGTAACTACAAGTCAGGAGGTCGTGGAGTTCCTCTGAATACTCCTTTCTCGAGCGATCGTCATCCAGATGCCATTCAGGTGCTCCTCAACATGCTGGCGGACAACCACCAGCTGACAGTTCTCCAGTACGAACGAGTCCTCAAGTATCTGGAGATAAAGCGCGAGGAGCAGGTGCAGGTCGAGCTCGGGGACACCAAAGACCTTTCATCGGGTCTGGGCGTCAGTGACCCCAAGCAAGCGGAGTTGCAGTCGAGAATATTGAACATTCTCAACAGCAACAGACCCAACGCCAACGCACCTGCACCCAGTCCAGTACCAGCGCCCGCTCCAGTGCCTCCAGCGACTTGGGCTGCAGGTAATGAATTGATGATTCATCTGATAAAATTCGCATTCAGGTTTAGATCTTATTCGACAAGGATATCCAAGTGTCTTTTACAGTTTAGGACAGGCCATTTTCATTTATCAAATTTGTTCATTAAATTGACGGAGAAAAATTTGAAAAAAACATGAATATTCAGCGTCATTTTAAAATGACATTTTGCACAGAATTATTATGTTTTTAAACATTCGTTGTTTATAGGTAAATAAAGGCGATTGTTTAAACTTTCCACATGAAATCGATTTCTGGGAAAATTCTGAATGTGAATAAATTCGTTAGGATTGCGAGCAAATTATATTTATGGTGAAAAATTGATTGTTTATGATTATTAATTTTTTTAAGGATATCCGAGTGTCTTTTACGGTTTGGTATAGACCACACTATAGATTCAACCTTTTTCAGTCATCAAATTTGTCAATTAAATTGAGGGAGAATTTTTGTTTAATAGATTATGAATATTCAGCGTCATCTAAATTACATTTCACACGAAATTATAATTTATCTAAATATTCGTTGTTTATAAGTGAATAATTGAAATTGTTTAAACTTTCGGAAACCTTATTTGTTAGGTATGAAATTGATTTCTGGTAAAATTCTGAATATTAATAAATTTTTTACGGCTCCGAACAAATGATTTTTGCGATGGAAAATTGATTGTTTATAAATTATTTATAGGAAATGCTCGTAATTTTCGAAAATTGCAATTTAAACATTATTTCATTAATCTTCCTTAAAAAATAAAATTTCTGAGTTGTTTTCAGATTTTTTAAATGCTTTCTAACGGTTCAATATCGAGCTCGAATTTTAACTTGGGGTTAAAATACCCAAAGTACTTGGATATCCTTAACTGACACAAAATTAAAATGCCAACAAGTCCAAGTTGGGTATTTTCGGTGATTTAATCACAAATAAAGCAGGAGTTTTCACGTTTATTCACGATTTTAATCCAGTAATTGAGGATTTTCGGTGAATCAGTAGCAAATGTTGCTGAAGTTTTCGTATTTACTCACGATTTCGACCCGTCGGGTAGTGAAATACCGATTTCAAAGAGGAGAGAATACAAAGAACGAGTTTTTAGTGCGCGTTGCGCCCGTTCTTCATCGGCAATTTTTTCAAAAAATCGTTCCTGCCCTCTTTTTTCTCGTGATTTGTTGCCCGTGATTTTTGATGCACTATTTTTGCACATTTTTGAAGAATCACGGTGACGCAGAACGGTTTTTTCGTCGTAGGATATTTCCATGCTCGTGCGTTTTTTTATTCTGTTCGGTTTTATTCTCCGGAGATGCAAGCTGTACGAATCTCGTTGATCTTCAATGTCTGGTGGAGTAACAATGGGATTTTCATTTATTTTTCATCATTTTCAAGGGTGAAAGAAAAACTTTCGAATGAAAAACAAGTCAAGTAATTTCACTCAGCAAATGTCGAATTATCGATAATCGAAAAAGATTCATTCACCCTGGATTTTTATAAATGCGCGATTATCTCGGTAACGAGTGGGTTTAGAGGGAAATGTCAGAAAACCAATTTTGTAGCTGAGGAAATTTCCCAGAAAAAGTTCTTTATGACATTTCCTCGTATGACAAGTCGTTATCGAGATAACGCGCCAGTATTTTTAATCACTGAAAAATTCCAGAGTGAAAAAAGAATCATCTTTCATCGTTGATATCTTGAGATTGGCAGAGTGAAATTTCGTGAATCTGGCGTCATTCCCAAGATATTTTTTCATGTTTCAAAATGAGCCCAGATTTATCTCATTCGCACCCTTCCTCTAGGAGATATTGAGGAATCAGCAAACGCGAATTTTCCCTTTCGTCATCATTAATTTCCAAAACTCGTGACTGCTTTCCTTTGCATCATCTCCACGGTTCGTAAAAATCTCGCGGGTGATACTCAATTAATTAAAAAATCAAAGTGGTGACAAAAAGGTACAGAATACAAACATCAATCTTAAAGCAATCTCAATAATAACATTAACGAATTAAGGAAATTGAAGAAGTTTTGATGCAATTATTTTATCCTATTACTGGCAGACACGTCAACGACATCGACAACCTCAGCATCTGGAACTGGAGTGACTCCGTCTCCACTCCTGAACGATCCCACAGTGCAGAAGGCACTTGACAGCCTTCTCCAGGGGAATCTCCTGAAAAGCATTGGCGATCCTCAGTCCACAACAGCCTCATCATCTCAGCCACTTTTCGCTGCTTTTCCGAATATAAATCGCCTCTAAATTATTTCACCATCAATGAGGCCTCTTATTTTCCATATTTGTTTATTCACATACACGTACATGATGTATCAATTTTTTATGTCTAGAATTATCACGAAAATATTTTAATAACGAGTGGTGAAATGTAACGGAATTAAACAGAACAAGTCTTGCTCTGTTAAAAGTCGAATTATCTCGAGAATGAGTTGTTCTAGGAGAAAATGTGAGAATACATTTTTTGGAGCTGAGAAAATACTCTGCATTTTGTTCCCGGGACATTTTCTCCTAGCCCCACTCATTGTTAAGATAATCATCAAGTAACGAAGGGAAATGTGAGATATTTTCTCTGCAAAAAAAGTCTCGTCAAATTTCCTTCTAAAGCCACTCGTTTTTATAGATGGATAAATAATCAGCAAGAAAGAATTATGCGTTTCACTACTATAATTGAAAAAATGGGGAAATGTAGCTACTGGAAGTTCTCAATTATCTTCTATGATACCTTGAAAGATAAAATGGGTTACTAATAATTCCACCACTTTTTTCACATTATGAATAACAAATTTCGGTGCCCAATTACAGCGAAATCATGATTAAGAAATTCAATAATTTTTGAATGGCGAATGACGAATAACACTCTGCAATGAACTGACAAAACTAAATTACAAAAATTACGTTTTACAACTTCACGAAATCGCTCTGAGACTCCAGGTAACATTAAAATATAATTTCCTCTACCTTTAATGTGTACAATGTATTCAATTCAGTCACGATGTATGTAACATTTGAATGACAAAATAAATCGGAGAGAAAACAGCAGGACTTCTTATTTTCCATATCTGTTCATTCACGTACATGCACATGATGTATCAATTTTTTTATGTCTAGAATATCACGAAAATCACCGATTAGGGAAGGAAAATGTGAGAAATTTTCTCTACAAAAAAAGTCTCGTCAAAGTTTTTTTTAAAACCACTCGTTTTTTAGATGAGAATAAATAATGAGCAAAAAGGATTATATGTTTCATTAAAGTTATTAAAAAAATTAGGAAATGTAGCTAATGGAAGTTCTTAATTAGATTCTATAACACCTCTCAAGATGAAATGAGTTAGAATAATTCCACCGCCTTTTTTCACTTTATGAATAACGAGTTTCATTGCCCAATTACAGCGAAATGATGATTAAGAAATTCAATAATAATTTTTGAAATGATGAATGATGAATAACAGAAAAAAAAACACATTACGTTTTTGTCTGCAATAAAATGACAAAACCTAATAATTCATTTTAAGAATTCATCAGTCGATGGAAAAACTGGAAAATTACGCAGAACAAGTCTTGCTCTGTTAAAAGTCGAATTATCTCGAGAAAGAATTGTTCTAGGAGAAAATGTTAAGAGCCATTTTTTCCAGCCGAGAAAATTCTCTACATTTTGTTCCCGGAACATTTTCTCCTAGCACCACTCATTCCCAAGATAATAACCGACTAATGAAGGAAAATGTGAGAGATCTCTAAAAAAAGTCTCGTCCCATTTCCTCTTAAAACAACTCATTTTTTTAGATGAAATAATTATTGAAAAAATGAGGAAATGTAGCTACTGGAAGTTCTTGATTATATTCTGTAATACCTTAAACATTAAATGGGATAGAATAATTCCACCACGTTTTTCACTTAATGAATAACAAACTGCAATGAAACGGCAAAACGTAATGATTCAATAATTCATTAAAAAAATTCTCCAGTCGACGAAAAACCCTGGAAAATTACGTTTTACCACTTCACAAAATCGATAATACTAAACTGTAATTTCCTCTACCTTTAATGTGTACACTGTATTCGATCCATTCACAAGTATGTAACATTTGAATATCAAAATAAATCGAAGAGAAAAGAGAACCCACATCCACGAACGAAGAGTCCCCCGAAGTTCCTAAGGATCTAGAAATCACAATAAAGCGTTGAAATATCGATTGAAATTCGTGTAGACAAGAGCGAGAAGCTGAAGCTTAATTGTGATAAATAAAAAGGGTCAGTAGCCAAGGTCGAAGCGAAAAGCGATGATTAACGACTTCTGTGCAATTTACCCAAGTAGAAACTCCTGAGGTACTGAACCCCGTGCAAAATCTCCTCACATGGCAGGCTGACAGCCCCATGGAGTATGCAAAGCACCTCCCTGACAGCCTCGATGTCGTACTTATTGGCGAGTAATCTCTGTTTGTATGGTTTCAGACGTTGGACGAGGCTTTTGTCCTTGGTGATGGAACCAACGTGATTTTTCAGAATCTCATCGTAAGTCGGCCAGTCATTGATGCACGCTGGACACTGGCAATCGAAGAAGTACTCGTCCATAAGTTTCTCCTTTCTTTTGGCCAGGGCCATGTAGGAGTAGTCAGCCCCATAGCCCGTGAATATCTGATCGCCAGGATGAATGGGCTCCATTGCACGAGTTATCATGGTGAGTCCCTCGAAGTGCCTGAAGGTATTTGGAGCGCAGGAGTGGTTGTACAAGCTGTGGGTCACGTACAGACCTGAACCGGACTTAATCCCTGGCTCTGGTTGAATCTAGGGGGCATTCAAGTGATAATTACATTTTTTGTTTCATCAATTTTTGTCTAAGCTGTAACGACTTTGAATTTGGCTTTTTGCGGGGAATATTCGAGGTTGTTGTCTCGTTTGGTACAGATTATGAATAGATTCAACCATTTTCAATTATCAAATTTTGACAAATTCTAAAAAAATCATGAATTTTTCAATTTTTTTCTTTTTTTTATTATGAATGGAGAACTGGACATGATTAATCTTATTAGATTGTACAGTGGCTCATTGACTATCCATTAGTATCGTGTACCGATGTTCCAATTACTCATGATCTAATATAATTGAAAATAACGAATATTCAACGTCATTCAAATTACATTTTACACAGAATAGTAATTTACTTGAATATTCCTTGTTTACAAATGCATAATTAAAATTGTTTGAACTTTCGAAAACCTTTTTTTTAGGGATGAAATAGATTCCTGGTGAAATTCGGAATATGAATAAATTTGTTAAGATTCCGACCAAATGATTTTTTACAAATTAGTTATAGAAAACGCTCGTTATTTTCATGAATTGCAATTTTTTAATTATTTCATCAATCTTTCTCCAAAAGTAGACTTTCTAATTTTTTTCAGATTTTGAAAATGTACTCTAACGGTTCAATATCGAGATTCAAATTCAGGCCTGCAAAGTCTAAATAATAAAATCATTGTGAAATTCCCTGAATAGCCAAAGCACTTGGATATCCTTAAATATTTCATTTCCTCCTGAATCCACTCATTAGTGAGATAAATCAACAAGTGTTGTCATCGGTCCGTACAATGCAAAATGAATGAATGAAAATTACTGAAAAACAATTGGAGGAAGTGATGACACAGGCCCTGAGCATCAAGCTCCCACAGAACTTGATATCCGGATGTTTATTGATATCCCTGAGCTCGTTCCACTTGTACTTTCTCCCGAAAAATTCTGTCTGGGTGGCTAGAAGCATAGCAGCGAGTGCCGAAACACAGGCGAATGCACTTATTCCAATAATAGGCCTCGTGATCATATTAGTTGCCAAACTCAGAGCTGATCTTGGACTCGAGCTGTCCAGAATTCCCAAGTCAGTAAATCCGGCTGTTCTGTCATCTGCACGAGGCATCATTCAATATAATAATTCAATTTGCATCATTAAGAGGCCTCAGGAGTGAAAAAAAAACTACTGAAATGCGGGGAAAACTTTGCGTCATGAATTCTCAGCCAAAGTGGGATGCAAAAATCTGAAAGATGGCTTAAAAAATTTGTTCATTCCACAGAAACCGGAAGAAGTGAGTTGAGGGTGATCTGAAGAGGATAAATAATTCTAAGAAATGTTTAAAAATACGAGGTGGAGGCGCCGCCATCTTGACAGCCCCTTGCGGCAGAGGGAGGGGGTATCCAAGCAAGATGGCGGCGCCCACACGTGCAACCACCTCATGCTTTCGAGCATTTCTTAAAAATATTTCTCCTCTTCAGATCCTCTTCACCTCGTTCCATCCAGTTCCTAGAAAAGGAACAATTTTTCAAGCTGTTCTTCAGATTTTTTCATCCCCTTCTGGCCGAGAATTCCTGGTGCAAACTTTTCCTCGCGTTTCAGTAGTTATTTTTTCTTCACCTGGATTCATCTCCGCGTTCTTCATATCTCTCCTCAACTCTTCAATTTTCCTTCCGTTCAATGTTGCAGGCATCAGCATCCTTATGATCTTCATCACCATTCGCACCTTATCCTCGTCGACATTGAGAAGATTAACGAGACCTGACAGAACTGGACACTCGATTCTGTGGGCCCAGTCCCAATCCATAGTTCGGCACTTCTCCGAGCAGTACTGGGAGATTGGACATTCCGGACAGGGCAGCAGGGCGTAGCATCGCTCCAGGCAGTGGTGACAGTGTGTATAGAACCTTGAAATGTGTTTATGATACTCTGAGAATGAACTCAAGCTCCTCGAGGGCTGACGGATCTCAATGAAATCAGAATAACGAGTTTTAAAATAGATTCAATGCATTTTGGGTACTTTTGTGAAAGAACGAGTTGTTGGACTCTAGTTTGTTAAGTACTTGAGGGTCTAAGATTTAAACTTACGTACTTGTTAATCCTGAATATTTTTTAGGTGTACTTTCTTGACGAGTTATTTAATAGATGTGAATTTAAAAATATGTGAAGCAGTGGTTTGACCATACAACATCGACGCCGAATCATAATATCTTTGAAATCTTCTTTCAACATTCATGAGGGTCATGAGGGTCTAACAGCATCGGTGAGGGTCAGAAAGGTCAGAATCTTTCATATTCTACACTTTCATAAAAATCTGGATGATATATCTGACATCAATAATGAGTCGGAAACCCCATGAGGGTCAAGAGGGTTATGTTAAGGTCATGAGGAAGTCGCCCTCATGAGGGTCAAACAACATGGGGAGGGTCAGACGAGTCAGAATCTTTTATATTCTATACATTCATAAATGCCTGAATAATATATTCGACATCAATAATGAGTCAAAAACCCCATAAGGGTCAAGAGGGTTATGTTAAGGTCATGAGGAAGTCGTCCTCATGAGGGTCAAACAACATCGGTGAGGGTCAGACGAGTCAGAATCTTTCATATTCTATACATTCATAAAGATCTGGATATCCAACATCAATAATGAGTGTTAAGGGTCAAGAGGCCTATCTTAAGGTCATGACAAGGTCATATGGAGGTCAAATGAAGGTCTTGAAAGACCCACAAAATTTATGCAAAGAAGCAAAGAAGTTTTGTTTTTGTGTAGATTGAAAATCGTTAATCCCTACATTTCAGGTATTCTCTTTCAACATTCATAAGGGTCATGAGGGTCAGAAGGATGTGAATAGCACACCCTACATCAATAATGAATCGTATAAAGGTCGGAAACCCCATAAGGGTCAAAAAGGTCAGCTTAAAGTCATGTGGAGGTCATACAGGGGTCAAACGAAGGTCGTAACGCCCAAAAAAATCCTGGGAATCCCTTACTTGTCTCTATAAATAACCCACGAGAATGGTCTTTCCATCGTGAGGATGTCCCCAGGTTTGAACTCCTTGGTAGCCACCAAATGTCTCCCATATTTCTTGGAGAATGAAATTTGAACTCCATCGCTGTTGGCTGGAGCCTCTTCACTCGGTCCGTGGGGGAACGACATGTATTCGGGGTGCTGGAGGTACCTAGGCTTCACGAAGGTCCCCGAAGAATTGGGGTCTGAAGGCACTGATATCTCCTTGGGCAACTGAATCTCCGGACTCTTCTTGGACGATCCGTCCACTTCCCCTTCCGATATCAGAGGGAATTTCTTCTTCTGGGAAGAATCCGACTGGGCGAAGAGGGAATCCTCGATGTCTTCATCAGCCTCATTTGACTTTATATTCAGGAGTTTCGCGAGTTCTGCCATGGCCTTCAGGCCCCTCTCCTCTAGTCTCTTGCGCTTCTCCTCGGGATAATCGAGCTCTAGGGCCTCTTTTACGTCCATTATACATTCTTTGTACATTTTCTTGCGATAAAGCGCTGCCGAACGATTTGCGTGCGCATACGCCATCTGTTGATTCGTTTTGGCGTATGCTAGACTCTTTGTGTACGTCTCGATCGCTTTTACATCGTCTCCAGCGACGAAATACTCATTTCCTGTCGGAGAAAGAATGCCTTCAGGGGGGAAAATAAATGGGTTCGGCCGATGCCAATTAGAGGGAGGGGAAAGAGTACTGAAATGCGGAGAAAATTTTGCGCCAGGAATTCTCAGCCAAAAGGGGATGAAAAAATCTGAAGAATAGTTCAAAAAATTTGTTGCTTTTTCTAGAATCTAGATGAAACGAGTTGAGGATGATCTGAAGAGGATAAATATATTTAAGAAATGTTCGAAAGCACGAGGTGGTTGACGCGTGTGGGTGCCGCCATCTTGAAAGTATTCAAACAAGATGGCGGCACCTCCACCTCGTATTTTTAATCACTTGTTAAAATTATTTATGCCCTTCAGATCACCCTCAACTCACTTCATCCGGTTCCTATAAAATGAACAAATTTTTTAAGCCATTTGACGCCAGCAGGAAAAATATAGAGGGGCTGAAATAAATGAAGCTTTACTTCAGAGATTGATCTACCTTCTTCTCGATATTTCATGGACGTTTCGTCGTTCTTCTTGTCTATCTGGAGGACTGGCATTTGCGACTTGGCCATGTTCTCCAGGATGTGACCCACTAGACCCTCGCACTCGGCTTGGAGGCCATACCCCACATGAGATTTGCATTTAGATTTCATCATGAGGATCAAATCTCTGGCCAGATCCATCTTAAAAGCTCGAGAATTATTTCGCCTAGTGAAAATGAGTGAAAAATGAATTTAAAAATCTTGAGACATTTTTTATTCGAGACTCACGGCTAAAAAATTCTCAACATTCACTTCTGTTTCACTCCCTTTCTGCTTAAATTAAATATTAACAACACTTTTAACAATATTTTTTAAAAATAAAACATTGGAATTACTTCTTCCTCGATAGCAATTAAACCAACGAATTATTATATAAATAGTTTGAGGGCAAAAATATCACCGCACACTTTCATTAAAAAATGAAAAAACTAAAATGATAAACTGTTGTCCTACCGCGTCGATCTAACGGTCCACAGGTGTCTAGAAACCAATAATTAATCAACGAAAGGGGAAAAGTAATGAAGAGATCCGCGAGATCACTCGAACCGGCGTTGGCGGTACACCGCAATCTGCAGGCCCAGTACGAGACACTTGAACTCACTGAGGTGACGACTAAAATTATCCACGCGAATGGTCGGTGGTAGTTCGACGGTACCTAGGCATTTTTCGAATGATTGACAATCCCCCCCGACATTCCATTATCGATGAACGTGCGTTGAAGAGTTTTCCGCGCGTTGGAGCTCATGTTTCATCCCTCCGGGGGGCTCCAGTGCCTCTCCGACGAGCCCCTGGCTCTATTTTACGAAATAATATTTTCCCACCACTTCCTTGGAGAGCGTCATAATTAACGTCCAATAATAGTTCTCGGCGTTCGCTCTATGTTCGTCAGTATTTTTTCTTCTGAAAGAGCCAGTTCATTCTCATTTGGCAGGGGCTCAAACCACCCGGGGAAGATTTAGAATCAACGCCTTAAGTGGTTTGATGGCACGTGTTATTTATTTATTTATTTAAAGGGCCAGTACAGTTATGCTGGTGAAAAAAAACGATTCAAATGCGGGGAAAAAGTTGCGCCAGGAATTCTCAGCCGAAAGGGGGTGAAAAAATCTGAAGAATAGCTTGAAAAAATTGTTCCTTTTTAGGAACCGGATGGAACGAGTTGAAGATGATCTGAAGAGGATAAATATTTTTTAAAAATGTTCCAAAGCACGAGGTGGTTGACACGTGTGGGCGCCGCCATCTTGCTTGGATACCCCTCCCTCTACCGCAAGGGGCTGTCAAAATGGCGGCGCCTCCACCTCGTATTTTTAAATATTTCTTAAAATTATTTATCCTCTTCAGATCACCCTCAACTCACTTCATCCGGTTTCTGTGGAATGAACAAATTTTTTAAGCCATCTTTCAGATTTTTCCATCCCACTTTGGCTGAGAATTCGTGACGCAAAATTTTCCCCGCATTTCAGTAGTTTTTTTCACTCCCGAAGCCTCTTAATGATGCAAATTGAATTATTATATTGAATGATGCCTCGCGCAGATGACAGAACAGCCGGTTTTACTGACTTGAGAATTCTGGACAGCTCGAGTCCAAGATCAGCTCTGAGTTTGGCAACTAATATGATCACAAGGCCTATTATTGGAATAAGTGCATTCGCCTGTGTTTCGGCACTCGCTGCTATGCTTCCAGCCACCCAGACCGGATTTTCCGGGAGAAAGTACAGGTGGAATGAGCTCGGGAACATCGATAAACATCCGGATATCAAATTCTGTGGGAGCTTGATGCTTCGGCCCTGTGTCATTACTTCCCCCAACTGTTTTCTTCTATTTATCTCAATAATGAGTGGGTTTCGACGGAAATGTCATAAGATATTTTTTGTAGAGGATGAAATTTCCAACGAAAAATGTTTCGAACATTTCTCTCTAAAGTTAATATTTAATAGAATAATTACCTCGAGACGGAGAAAAATTTTTAATTACCACTAAACCCGAGTTTTCACGAGCTCTTTTGATTTTTGCATAATTAAAGGAGATGTTTATAGAATGATTATAACACTTTAAATTACATGTACTTCTAGCATATAAAATTTTATTGAAATATTTGATATCTGATAGTAACATGAAGAATATGATCGCAGAGGTTTATCGTAGATGAAAGTAAGCGTTTTGATTATTCTTTTTGAATTGAAATTCAGTCCTCATCAGTCTCTAGATTGATGTGACTACCGAATTTCGCGTAGAGCTGCGCCTTCAGATCTGTCATTATTGTCTTCAGGTTGGAGCACTTGGTCTCCAGTTCCGAGATTTCGGAGAGTTTCTTCTCTTTCGCCTCCTCCAAGCATTTCTGCACCATAAAAACGACTCGATGAATTTCACAATTAACGCCCGAGTGGATTATCTTTCGAACGTGATGTCGAACTTGACTGTTTTTTTTTATTTTGACAATTCGAAATGATCCCCAATTGCTATTCAGTTTTACACAGCTCTGGAGTCTCCAAAAATTATGATTTTACAATCAAAAAAAGGTTGAAATAAAGCTGAACATTTTGAGAGTGCGTTTTTGAATAATATTGGGAAATAAACCCAATAGGGAGGAAATTGCAAATTATCCATTCACTATTTTCTCTCTATCGGACTTATTTCTTAATCTTTATTAAAAACGCTCTTTGAATATGTTCAGTTTTTTTTCTACTTTTTTTGATTGTGCAGTCGTAATTTTTAGGGACTCCTGCGTGATGTAAAATCCAATGGAAGTTGTGATATATTTTACATTATGAAGATGGAAAAACAATCGAGATCTTAATTCCATAATTAATCAGCAAATTCGTTAATTGATATTGAACATCTCCGAGCACTTTTGCTCATTTCACGACTTGCCCTGGGCATTTTCCTCTCATGCAATTAGTCATCTACAAAAATCGTTGAAAAAATTGCTTCACCTGTGTTTTTTCGAGGTCCTGGTTGACAAAAAGATCTCCAATTCTGTACGGGATCTTGGCATCGTCGTCCATGAGCGCGAGTTCATCGCAGGCATCCTCCAGATTTTTCAAATCATTCTAAAGATACCGAGAACACCATGACATGACCATTTATGGTAACACGAATTGTTTGTTTTTTTAAAAATATTTTACCTGTCTAATCTTCAGTTCCTCCTTCAAGTCGTCCATCTGTGCATTCTGCTTCGCGAATCTATTTATTTTCTGTTGATCCTCGTAGGAAATATGAATGTCAGAGTCCTATGATGGGTCAGAGGTTAGAGTGGATCCAGAGAAACAATCGTCAGGAAAAAGACGTTTCAAAAATTTCTTTCGATCGTTTACTCACCGGCTGGAAAGCTCCCTGGGCTTTTGTTCCTCCTGCCATTTTTCCGAATTAATTTAACGTTTTTGGGGTGATTGTCAGGGAATAGTGGACGAAAACTTCGGTGTTTCTGGCACGTTTGAGAGTTCCAGAAGTACCTGCGAGAGGGAGGGAGAATCGCTGATGGAAGGAGAGACGAGTTCATGGGGCGGCTTCGCTAATTATGTCATTAACTCGTGAACGAGTGGATTTAGAGGAAAACATCAGAGAACCTTTTTTGTAGCTGAGAAAATTGTCTATAAACAATATTTTGTGATGATTTGTCCTAAAACCACTCGTTAACGAGATAATTCAACAATTGTAAAGAAAAGACAAAATGAGGATGAGAAATCAATTAAATAATGTTGAAATCCCAGAATTAATCACCAAGTATCAAATCTTTATTAATCTTTCATCGAAGATTTCTTCGATTCATCTTGTTTTACAAGTTTAACAAAAGAATGTTCGATCTTCACAACAAGAATCAACTTGTTATTCTCTTGAAATGCTATTCCCAAATGCTATTTTTTGTTTCGTGCTTTCGTGTTTTTTTAATCTGTCATCAAACATATCTTCCATTCATCTTCTTCCACAAGTTTAACAAAAGAATGTTCGATCTTCACAACAAGAATCATCTTGTTATTCTCTTGAAATGCTAGTCCTAAACGAAAAAACGAAATGAAACTAAAAATGAAAGAATAATTGTCATCTCCAGCCCTAACTGAAAAATCATAATAATAATGTTGAATGAATAATAAACACGTGTTTAAATAAAGAACATGAAGTGGAGCTGTTCTTATCCTCAAAAATACAAAAATAGAGAATGAAAGCCAGAGATTATTCCATCTCTGAAGATTTGTCAAGGTCTTTGGAAACATCTGGACCTCCAGAATCCTCTCCGCCCTCGTTATCATCAGCCTGAGGCTCTCCTGTGCCTTCAACACCCTCACTTTTTCCATCCCCCAGGCCTTCGCCCTTAGCTTTCCCCTCATCTCCTGTCTCTCCTTTCACAACACAGATCTCTGTCAAATTGTATTTCCTGTACTTGAAGTACTCAGGGGCAATGGACAGGAGGCAGTGGCTCTTGACGACTTCCACGAGAACAGCAATTTCCGGATTCGTCAGGTCTGCTTTGTTCCCTGGATTCTTCTCTGATATCAGGGCAGCCAGGGCCTCAATGACGTCACCCCTCTGCATGGAGTTGTTGTAGTGTCGACTAGAATTCGATGAATTAATTAAATGAAAGAGGACGTGAATGAAGGAGACGTGAATTTTTTTCGGGAAAGTGGCAAATCGTAATGACAAAAATTCCTTTCTTTTTTCTTAATATAATTTCAGCCATGGATTTCGGCTGCATTAAACTATTTCTTAATTTAATTCAGTGGCGAAGTGGCAAAACGGCATAAATCAATTTTGACTATTGACCAGTTTTCAATAAATATCTCGGAATCTAAGGGAGATAGCAAAATTTTTTTTATAACCTTTTTTGTAGAGCCGACAGAGCTACAACAAATGTAATTACGATAATTGCGCTATTATCGGCCTGTCCACCCCACTTAGCTATCCGTAATTATCGTAAAGTTGAACTTCTCATAGTATTACTAATGTAATGATTGACGCCGATCCCTGGGCTAAAATGCATTACGAATATTCCGAAGGGACAGTTGGATGAATAGTTTTTCCATTTCCCATAAAAATAGTCAAACTTTCCAGGAAAAATAATTACTTGAAGACAATAGCGAAAGTCTTGGGCTCCTCCACAAAGTACTTATCGAATAAGTCATTAGCCTTGGCCTTGATGTCGTCCACGTTAGCCTTGCAGACGAGGAGAACAGGAATGAGTCTCAGTATGAATCGACTCCTGGGCTTCTTAGTCTCGTCCAAATGCTTGATGATCTTCGTGGTGAGCGCCAGGGGGTCTGGCACTGTTGTGCGCATGAAAATTATGTTCTTCACTCCAGTGTCGATGTACTGTCGGGAGAAATGAAAGATTAATGGGAAATTTCGTCATCAAGATATTTGAAGAATTGAAAAACTGATTATTCACGTCATTTTCTTCCAGATATGATTCGTCGTTTCATATTTTTTTGTTCGATTGAGCTATATTTCTTCTTTGAGCAATTGTGTTAGATTTATTGTGAAAATTCTTGTGTAAATCAAATGACAGAATAATGCGGTCTGTAGTTGTCGTAATTGAATGAATTCGAAATATCTTATTTGAAGAAAATAATGATTAAATTCCATCGACTCATTAATGAAAAATTAAGTTGAATTTTCGTCACGTACACCTTTTGGATAATAATGGCTTCGTTGGAACGATTCCAAGACCTCCACTCGAAGGCAAAAAAAACCGCTGAGGATCCCCTCCAGAACAAAACAATTACATCATCAGAAAAATGAAAGAAGGTCCTGTCTCACCTGAAATTTCTTATCCGCCGGTTTCTTGTCCCTGAGAGCCTCGATCTCCTTGCCGAGGGCGTCAGAAATGTCCTCTTCCTCCTCCAGATCCTTACCGACTGCCTCTTCTGCACCTTCTGCCTCCACAGGCTTCTTATCATCATCACAACTATCGTTGGAGAATGATTCAAGGAGTCTGTAGGCATCCCTGATGCAGTCCTTCTCCTTGAAATTGCAGGTGCACAAGAATCCTGTCATTCCCACCTCGATCGACAACTGCTTCTGCTTCTTATGACCTCCCCAGGGCTTATTATATTTTCTCTTCTTCTCCTCCATGACCAGATCAAATGTTCATCTCATAAACAATAATTTGTCGATTGAGGGGAGGCGATGTGCCGGCGATTTTTGAGGTTAAGAATCCAGTGGATTTGTAAACAAACTGAAACAGACTAGCGGAAACGCCGCAAAGGGGCGGGAACGAAATGCAATTCTCTTTCGCAATTTTTATCAATTTTTTGTTTTAGATTTTTGGCTTTACTAGGTTTCTTTCATTAGATATTTCAAATGTGTTTTTATTATTTTCATTTTTTATTTTTTTTATCATTAACTAATTACAGAAATAGATCAGTAGCGAAGCGTTCAAGTCGATTTTGTCTATTGGCCAGTTTTCAATTAATATCTCGAAATCTAAGGGAGATAGCCAAATATTTGTCATGACCTTTTTTGTAGCCCTTAATTCGCTTTGCAAAAAAGGTCATTACACAAATTTCGCTATCTCCCTTAGATTCGGAGATATTCCTCGAAAACTCAGCTGAAGGCTAAGTCAACTAGACCGTTCTACCAATTCAATACGGAATTAATATCTCGAAATCTAAGGGAGATAGCAAAATTTTTGTCATAACCTTTTTTGTAGCCCTTAATTCGCTTTACAAAAAAGGTCATTACGCAAATTTCGCTATCTCCCTTAGATTCGGAGATATTCCTCGAAAACTCAGCTGAAGGCTAAGTCAACTAGACCGTTCTACCAATTCAATACGGAATTAATATCTCGAAATCTAAGGGAGATAGCAAAATTTTTGTCATAACCTTTTTTGTAGCCCTTAATTCGCTTTACAAAAAAGGTCATTACGCAAATTTCGCTATCTCCCTTAGATTCGGAGATATTCCTCGAAAACTCAGCTGAAGGCTAAGTCAACTAGACCGTTCTACCAATTCAATACGGAATTAATATCTCGAAATCTAAGGGAGATAGCAAAATTTTTGTCATAACCTTTTTTGTAGCCCTTAATTCGCTTTACAAAAAAGGTCATTACGCAAATTTCGCTATCTCCCTTAGATTCGGAGATATTCCTCGAAAACTCAGCTGAAGGCTAAGTCAACTAGACCGTTCTACCAATTCACTACGGAATTAATATCTCGAAATCTAAGGGAGATAGCAAAATTTTTGTCATGACCTTTTTTGTAGAGCGAATTAACAGCTACAAAAAAGGTCATTACGAAAATTTCGTTATCTCCCTTAGATTCGGAGATATTCCTCGAAAACTCAGCTGAAGGCTAAGTCAAGTTGAATCGTTTTACCGTTCGCTACTGAAATAATTTCTTTATTTGTTCTTTCTCTTTTTAACTGCTCTTCTCCATGTTTTGAAAATGAAACCATCATTTCTCATTAAAAAAAATTGACAATGGATTTAAAGGAATGAAATTTCAGGAAATAACACAAGTTTTTGAGAAATACAAATAACTTTATTTTTCTTCTTTTTTTCGCGTTCACCTGACTGAAACGCGTTATATCGTCACAAACGTATTTATATATTTGAGTGGATCTCGTTATTCATATGAATTAAAACGACTCAAACGCATTTTCACGGACATTTGGCGTTTATTTCATCCGTTGATATTATTTTTTTACACTTTCAACACGTGCGCACAAAATAATTTTCATATGGGACACTTTTTCAGTCTTTCATTTGCTGTTGATCCTCCGAGTCATTGTTTCCTATGTAATCCTCAACTCTCAAAATGATAATAATCAGCCGACGCAAATAATCCAATAAAAAAATTGACAATTAAATTTTTTTCATGTCCATCATTTCATTGATATTAAAATCGTATTCAAAATTTTATAGAACTTAAATTCAGTAATTTCCCAAGTGCACAGAATATAATTTATTTATCGTACTTATTGTGGACCATTTGACAGAGGAAAAGTGGAGAAAAACTCTCGAGTTTATTTATTTTTTTCATTTTTCGCTCTTTTCTCGGATGAACGTGTGAAAAAAAAACAGATCAGTCGCTTTATTTTTGGATTGTTTTTCACCATCAAAATATACTTCGCTTCACAGATGACAGAGTGATGAGAAAAAATAAACAAAAGGCTCAATGAACATAGAAACAATGAAAAGGCACCTCAATTAATTTCAAATGTACCAAAATTTTGCATTTAATCACAAAATTCGCCAATTGGTACGATTCGCCTCTCCAAGAATATAAAATCGGTACGCACGCCCCTCCCCCCCACAATTTTATTCCATCTCCACTGTGTCATCCCCACATAATTACAATTCTCGTTCTCCTCATTAATTTAAATATAATTCATTAGCGAAGCAGTAAAACGATTCCATTAGGTCTCAGCTGAGTTTTTGGGGAATATCTCCGAATCTATAGGAGATAACGAAATTTCCGTAATAACCTTTTTTGTAGCCCTCAATTCGCCCTACAAAAAAGGTTATTATAAAAATTTCGTTATCTCCTCTAGATTCGGAGATATTCCACGAAAACACAGCTAAGACCTTTGATTTTGACTATTGGCCAGTTTTCAATGATTACCTCGGAATCTAAGGCAGATAGCGAAATTTTTGTCACGACCTTTTTTATAGCTCTCAATTCCCTCTACAAAAAAGGTATTAACAAAAATTTTGCTATCTCCCTTAGATTCCGAGATATTCACGGAAAACTAATAGAAAAAATCGGCTTCAACCGTTTTCCCCCTCCACTGGTGAATTAATTCTCACAAATTTCTCTACATATTGTCATTGCCAAAAGTTGAACCCAAAGAACTGAAATAAATTTTCACCCCTCTCACTGGCACTCCCCATTCGACGGACAATTTACAATTGCAACATTCATCATAATATTTCAGACAATCTGGGATCAAAAAATGATCGCAAATCCAATCGGTAACGAATTCAATCCCTCCCCTCTCAATTTACACCTCAACTATTTACAGTAATGATTATTCAGAAAAAACCTCAAGAACAATAATTCTCATTTCCATCATTGAAAGAATTAAGTAATAATAACTGAAAGAAAGAAAACTCATAAAACGAGAAAGAATAATTTTTAAGTCCTAAACCAAGTGCCAACAACGCAATCGCCATGATCCCAAGTGTTTCACCCCTCAAATTTCAACAACAGTCCACACTCCCTCAATCACTCTCGGCCCATCCATTGTCCCATCATCAGAACCCAAACGATCCCAAATAATTTGAAACGACGAACGGAAGACACGTGAGAATGACGAGAAAAAAAAGTAAGTCCCAACGATCGTTCGAGTTCTGGGCAGCCTGCCTCAGAGAAAAACGCAAATATACAAATTGAAAAAAAAAAAACGAAAGGCAATCCCAGGGCCTCGATTACAGCCCCTCACGCTCAACGAAAAATAATGAATAATTCGTCGCCTAAAATTAATTAATCAATGATAACGTAAGGCAATATGTGGAGAATTTGGCCATCGTAGCTGGGCCTAGCTAGCATCTCGTGCCACTCTCTGAATTCCCTATCAGTATCAGTACTTCGACGTCTGTAAATACCGGATATCCTCTTAATATCACAAGCGTCATCGGCATCCTTGCCCTCTGAATGCCTCACACCGAACTGATAATTGCCATTGAGGCCCTCAACACAATGATCATGCAGTCTATCAACATCATCATCATTGATGTCCCTCTTGACAGGGCTTGCTGGCTCCTCATCATCACTCCACCTTATCGAGTCGTGATCTAAGGGCGGCAGTTTGGCGAGAATTTCCTCCACCGTTGGATCATGATACGTTATTTTATCGAAATTATCATCATCAACGCTCTCCCCATCGTCGCCATTCTTTTTCCCTGAATTCGTCAATTTAACTCGATTGTTGCGGGGATAAGGGACCTCGTCAGCGTCACACCGTAGTATTTCCTCGGTGGTTGGTGGCTCGTTAACTGTTCTACAGGTGCCGGCGCCAGTAACAGTCGAGCCCCTTGCCTGCAAATCCGCCAGCAACTCCTGGGTTGTCTTCAACTTTGGATTGCGCGATATGCTGGCAAGTTTCTCTTTAACACGATCTTGCTGCTGCTGTTGATTTTTCACTGATTTACTACCCTTCTTACGTCCACGTTTCTTGGGTCCCCCACCAATATCCACACTGTTATCGTCAGTATTGATGATAACATCGACTGATGAATTTATTGGCAATGGGCTAGGCACTTGCGAGTTTGTGTTAACATTAATATTTACGTTTTCACCGTTGATCCGCTGTTTCTTAACATTATGATCGTCCTTTGATGACAGGGGGGTGATTGTGTCTGTGGGCTCGTCTTTTCGGAGGCGTTTGTTGGAGCTGTGGGTGCGGGGGACTGCGTCCAGGGATGGATTGTGTGATGTTGTTGAGAGTTTTGGTGATATTGGCTGATTCAATCGGTGATTCTGGGGAAGAGATGCTGGCAGGTGCTTCGTTGGCGTTGGATTTGGTGAACGTGACTGATCGCTGGTCAGGGAGAGGGCTGGACTCAGGACCTGAATTCAAAAGGCATTTGGATTAATCAATAAACGTATTCATCTCCAGGCGATGTAAATTAATCCAGGAATCCGGGATTTTGGGGAAATGAAACACTATGATCTAATTGTCAGTGAAAAGAATCGAGTTAACGTTCGAAAGATCTTCCACTGGGGCCCTAAAGGGTAATAAAGACTTCAAAAGGACTTCTGTGCATTCCGGAAGTGAAATAACGAAGAGGTTTTGTTTTGAAGAATATCTTCGAATCTAAGGGAGATAGCGAAATTTTTGTGAGGAGCTTTTCTGCGCGGAAAATTGAGAGCTACAAAAAAGCTTATGACCAAAGTTTTGCTATCTGCCTGGGATTGCGAGGTATTCGTTGAAAACTGAGCAATAGTCAAAATCGACCTGAACTGTCGCTTCACTATTGAATGAATGGACCAAATCTAATCGACATGTGAATAAATTGAACGCTAAACGACAGCAGCAGACAAGTATCGACTCAAAACCCAATGGACCCCTTTCATTTACGTCTTCCATCGGTTTTTCGTCTCAACTTTCACCAACTCATTACGTAATTTTCCCAAAAAACGTGTTTGCCTAATTGAATGCTTCCCATCTACACTTGCAATCAGGCATTCCCTGGAGAACTGGAGCCAAAGCGTTCGCATTAGTTCGTGTGTCCAAATAAGAAGTCATTGTGAGGCTATTCCCTTCCCTGATATCCATTGAAATTATAAATCTAATGAATATAAATATCACATTGTTGCAGCATGTCTAGAAGTCCCAAATGCAGACCTCAATCAATCAACTGATATTATTATCATCAAAAGCAAGAAACAATAAACTTATAAACACGTTAAAATGAATATTTATATATCTCATTTGTGAAACTCGTCCATAAAATCTTTGTTTGCCCTCAGGGTACGTCTCCCCAGTCATTAATTAATAAACCGCCCCATTCATTCTACTAATTTGTTTTGTGTCATTTATTTCTGGGATATATCAACGTTATATTATACTGTTTGCACTGTTTTGTCTCTTGTGGCTCCAGAGGGATTTTGTCCTCGAGTCTTTCCCATAAAGAAGAAGAATACCAAAACAAAAGTCCATGTCCCTCCATCAATGTGATGTTGGCATGAATAAATCAGGCTAAGAATTTCATACGAAAACAGAAACAATTAAATTGCAATCTATAATCGTTTATATAAATCTTATATAGATAATCGGTTAAATTCTAAAAAATGAACAAAAATAAATAAAATAAAATAATAGTATTTTTATTATTAATGGTAATATTAGTATATTATAAATATATAATAATAATAATAATAATATAAATGCCATACTTTCAATGGTGCTCCATCTCGTAGAAGTGGACTCTGTGGTTTAAAAATTTTATTCCCAGGTGGACTACGTGACCTAGGTATAACCCGTACCCCAGGACTCTGTGGCTTTGTTCCATTGATTCCCTGAACCGTTGCTACACCTCCAGCCACTTGTGAGGATGAATTGGTGGGCGGTAAGACCATTTCTCGCCATCTTCGCACAAGATCCTTAGCCCTCTTAGCGAGTGCATCATTTGTTGTTTGACGTCGTAATTCGTTAATGTGTTTTCCAAGTCGTGTACTCTGTATCAATGATCGTTATTATTAAATTTTTTTATTTATCAATACGTTGAAGTTCTCAATCAAATTCTTGATTAAAAAAATTAATTTAAAAATTTTCCAGAGACACCGAAAAATCGATTTTTCAATTTTCTTGTTGATTATATTTTTTCGTATTTTTCATATCTCCTTCGATTGGAATCACATCATAAGAACAAAAAATATTGATCTTCCTTGATTATCCAAAAAGAAAAAATGTGTTTTCCAACTTGTGCATTGTACATCAATAATAATTGTTAATAACTATGAATCATTAATCAATTCTGTATTGTAATATACCTGGAGTACTTCTTTGGTGATTTTTTTCATAATAATCCGATAAAATTGTCAATCATCAATTCCTAATTTCTGTTTATTCTATTCATTCTACCAAAAGACGAGGATCGAAATTCAATTCAAAAGTATTTCAATATTTGAAAAAATATATCGATTTAAAAACTTTGATTTTGTTGATCACGTCTCTCTGATGTTTTCCATGATGTTGATATCCCCTCATTATTGACAAAAAATTAATTAAAAAATGTTCTTCTTGCTGATCCCTTTCCCCGCGTTGTTCTCATCTCTCATTGAATTCAGATCATAGACCCAAAAAATGTCGATCTCCCTTGATTATCCAAAAGAAAAAAAAATGTCTTTTCGAAATGGTGTACTAATCAATGCTAATGATCCACAACTATGAATCATCGATCAATGATTTATTGCAACAAACCTCGAGCACTTCTTTGGTGATTGTCGTCTTTTCCAGGGCTGTGATGACATCCACGACGGCGCCCATATCGACGACCTGAAACATCACGTCCATCATCATCAAAAACTCTGAATGTACATTACAAAATTATCCAGACAGAGCAGTGACTTGTAAATACGCGATATAACAAATCCATTCCGCCATGAGTATTTTATTAAAACTGAATAAACCAATGATTTAATTCTCAATTTTTTTGTACATTCAATTAATTCTGCTGGTTCTCCACGAAATAAACCCGAAAATAATCATCGAAATAGCCGCGAACCCCCAGACAACCCCGAAAGCAAGAATCCAATCCCGAAATCCCCAGAATCATTCAACAAATAATCTCGTAAAAGTTCTCCACGAAGTCACACGCGTCCCCGCAAAATCCCGTCAACCGTGTGTCATAATGCCCTCATATGGCGGCGAAAAAGCCCCCGAAAAGGGTGATTACTCCCCCCCCAAGTCACCCCCTCGATTCCAAAATATTCTGAAACCCCAAAAACCCTGAAAAAATATTCATTTCGTCATCATCGCAACGTCGTCGCCATTCTTCGTCACCCTCACACCCAAATTAATACCCTACACGTACAACCAACCCATTCACGTGAATGAAATGAGCCCAGTGGTGCACTGGTATGTGTCACCACGTTTACAACCAACACAGAGGCCATCGGACGAGTGTAGGCTAAGGAGACGAGTAAACGAGAGTGGCACGATAGCCGTTTGACTGTACGGACGGCGGAATTGTCGTGAATCGGGCTTAGTTGGTGAACCACACACTCTTCGTACGTACGTCGGGGGTTATGTCGACGGATTCTTGGCGTTTTTTTTTCTCAAACTCGAAAATTTAAAACCCCTGAAAACTCGTAAATTCGTCGGAGATAAATGATCAGCACTCCCCCCCGGGGGGTTGGCTTTTGATAAATTACTTACATTGTACTCCTTATCAATTGAGTTCAACAATTTTTGGGTGAGCTCGGTGCAATGCTGCTGCATCGGTAGAGAGCTCACTATTAATTTATCTGAGGGCCCACAACTGTTATTTCTCTCAAAATACTTTGACAAATGATTTAACAATATATAGTTTTTTTCGATATATTTATGATGTTTACAGGGGATCCAAGTTATCTTAATTTACAATTAAATAGTTCTCTCTAGTTTTATATTATCTGTGTAAAAATTGTATTTGTTATGGTATCCTTATGTTATGATGGATGTAATTTTCGTGAAAATTGTTATTTTGCGAGTTATCGTTCTCAGCATTTAAGAACCGTCGCACACGAGATGTAGCGCACGAATGCGAGGGCGAGAACGCACTGGCAATGGCGACGACGAACGTACTAACATTGGCCCGTTCGCTCGCGTGCCCTCCCTGCCGCCCGAGTGCCTCCTAGCTCTTGCTACCATAGCATCCTTCGTCCCCCTCAGTGTCTGTCTCACTTGGCCAACTTCGCCCCCTTTCGCCGGCTTTCGGCCGTCTCCGCCATCCCCACCACACCGTCAATGTCACTCTGACCACCAATTAGGGGCGGGCACGGGGGAAATGCCAGCGCCATTGGTCGATTGGTTGATTGGCTAATTAGAATTGAAATTACGAGGTTTGTCGATCGTTTAGAATAGACCTGAGAGACTTTAAATACATGGAAACGCCGTTTTCTGGAAAAGTGGGCGTCACTCTATTACTAAGTATAGAGAGCACGATCACTTCCGGTAACTGGTCGCTCGTCGGTCGGCTCTCCCACTATCGAGAATTTTCGAACGATGGAAACCCCCCAGGAACGCGGTCTCCAAAATACCCAAATTCCATAAATAAGAGACCTCGGGAGAAAAAAGAATGGCTGAAATGTGGGGAAACATTTGCGCCATGAATTCTCGGGCTAGAGGCGATGGAAAAGTGTGAAAGGTGGCTTGAATAATTTATTCATTTTATAGGAACCGGATGGAGAGAGTGGAGGGTGATCTGGAGAGGATAAATAATTATTAGAAATGTTTAAAAATTTGAGGTGGGAGCGCCGCCATCTTTAAAGCTCCTTGTGGCAGAGGGAGGGGGTTGTAAGCAAGATGGCGGCACCTGCAATTATAAATCAACTCGAATTGTTGAATATTTATTGAATTATTTATCGTTTTTCCCGCATTTCAGTATTTTTTTTTACTCCCGGGGCCTTTCAAAACAAGCAATTTCACATTTATTATTTTTTATTTTCCTGAATATTTTCTGTATTTTTCGAAGAAACACTAAAAAACAGAGAATTTAAAAATTCCTCATAAAAAATAAACTCACTGTGGAATCGGGAGTAAAAATCAACGAATGAAATGCGGGGAAAACTTTGCGCCACGAATTCTCAGGTAAAAGGGGATGAAAAAATGTGAAAAATGACTTGAAAAATTTACTCCTTTTATATAAACCGGATGGAGAGAGCGGAGGGTGATCTGGAGAGGATAAATAATTATAAGAAATGTTTAAAAATCCGAGGTGGAGGCCCCGCCATCTTTAAAGCCCTTTGTGGCAGAGGAAGGGGGTATCCAAGTAAGATGGCGGCGCCCAGACTGTTACCCGAGAATTCACGGCAGTTTTTCCCGAATTTTGGTCAATTTTTTTGTTCTCGAGAGCTCTGAAACCAATTTCTAGAATTAAGCGATCGTCTGGAATAACTGACATCATAATTAATTATCCATCATAATGCGTAGAATAATGAGCAGATAAAAATTTCAAGGGTTAAATAAATTCAGTTAAAATTAATGAAAGTGGCATGAATCGATGTGAAATCATCTGGGAATTTAGAAAATCAAAAAGTTGAAACAGTTTCCTTCTCTAATATTTTTTTTGCCTGCGGCCGTCACTGGGCATGCGCACACCTCCACCGATCAGCTGTCTCCTCGCGCTCGAGTCCACGGTCTCCTCCACCTCCACCCCCTCAACTTGGCAAACATTCGGAAAAAATAACATTTCCCAACTAGTGCGTAATAGACCGTTGTTTAGGGTTTACGTTGTTTGTGTGCTATCTTTGTATTTTTTAGTGCACGATTGACAGCTCCTCTGAGCGGGGACTGGCGTTGTCGTACTCGGATTCTTTTTTTTATGAGTGATCAGTAATTGAGAAAGTGATTGTCCAGTGGTTCAGGGGGCTTTCATCGTTGATCGCCGATCTTTGCACAACGATGGATGCCGAGGCAGCAGGTGCTGGGGATGGGGACGATGAAGTCGAGGAAATGGATGGTATCTATCGAAATTTTGATAAACGCGGAAAAAGTCTGAATATTTTATCATTTTACAAAAGAATTGAAAAGCTTGAAAAAAGGAATTTTTTTTTACTTGTCAAGTGCCTTGTCTTCCTCATTCATTATTTACTCATTTATGTATTTATTTATTTATTCATGTATTTATTTACTTATCTATGTATTTATTCGGATATTTATTGTTTACAGCCCCAACACCATAAGCCAATTACAGCCTCAAGTTCCACAGATTCATGTATACAACGTAAATTTAAATATTTAATTATTTAATTACATATTCCTGGTTGACGATTGAGTTACGACAATCATAAAAAAGCGACAATTTACGAACGTGAAGATTTTACGAACTTATGTTCTGTTGTTTCCCTGCATTGGCCACTTGAGTTCCTCCAAACTGTGCGATATTTCCAGATCTAAGAGCGATAGCGAAATTTTTATGATAACCTTTTTCGTAGCTCTCTTTTCGCTCTACAAAAAAGATTATAACGAAATTTTTGCCATCTGCCTTAGACTCCGAGGTATTCATTGAAAACCGAATTCATTCAAAATTGCCTTGAATCATTTTCCCCTTTGCTACTGATTTCTCTTGTCGACGACTTTAAAAAAATTATTCGCGTATAAAAATCGTTAATCGGGACATTCACATGATGAAATTTTTTGGCAACAATGGGATTCTCTCCCTTCCTCGTCATGTAACAACCCTAGGACAATCCCCCTAACAGTTGCGTCATGTTCCCAATATAGACGCATCATCGATGTGAAGTAACTAAAGTTAATATTTCCAGCCTCCCCCGGAGCCCTTGAGAACACCTTCGACATGACCCTGGCCACGTCGCACTCGGTAAGTCGATGAACCCCTCGAAACATCCAAATGATATTAATTGAGTGGATACACGTTATCACTCAACTGTATCTTAGCTTTCCTACCTGTATATTTTTTTTCTTTTTCCTTATATTCATTATTCTTATATTCATTACATTATTATTTTCTTTATATTCATTATTCTTTATATAATTTTTTTTTATATTCAAATAGCTGTATAACTCTCTGGGTTCGTGCTTAAATAAAAAAAATGATATTAATAATCGCAATGAAAACAGTATTTAGGGAACGATCTCGAGGTTTTGCGAGGGAGAACCCTCTTGGATAACGGCATCTACATGGATCTGCCGCTTCTCGCTGAGAAGTCGGTGGTCCTGTTCCCGGGACAGACCCTCCCGATGATGGAGTACGACATCAGGACGATCGAGATGCTCAGGAAATGCATTAATAAGGATAAAACCTTCGGGGTGGCCTGTCTGAGGTATGACCGGGGCTTTTCCATGGGGACTACCGCCGAGATTTACGAATACTCGGAGAACACTGGGTCAGATGAGGTGAGGGTCAAGGCCAAGGGGAGGCAGAGGTTCAAGATTTTACGGATACGAAGTGTGAGTATCTGAGATGATCGTTTCAATAGGGAAACGATAAAACGGTTCAAGTAGATTTTCACTATTCGTCAGTTTTTAGTGAATATCTTGGAATCTGAGGCAGATGGCAAAATTTTTGTTACGACCTTTTTTGTAGAGCGAATTGAGAGCTATAATAAAGGTTATGACAAAAATTGCGATATCTGTCTTAGATTCCGAGATAATTGCTAAAATTGGGCAATAGTTAAATTAAGAGGTCTTAGCTGGGTTTTTGAGGGATATCTCCGAATCTAAGGGAGATAACGACATTTTTGTAATGACCTTTTTTGTAGCACTCACTTCACTCTGCAAAAAAGGTCATTACAAAAATGTCGTTATCTCCCTTAGATTCGGAGTTATTCCCAAAAAATTCCCGTCCCCTCTCCTCTTCCCTAATTAATTACCGTAATGTTTGATTTTAGTCATCAGGAAGAATTTCCGCGGACGTAAAAATCCTCCCAGAGATAGAGTTAGGCCCGCCCTTCCACGAGGACCGTCTGGCCTGCCTGGACCGCCTCCGAGTAATTCCGACTAATGAGAAGGAGGCGAAGAGCCAAGACAAAGTGGCTAGACTTGACTCTGTGCTGACGCCCTGGCCGGCCTGGGTCTACCATCAGTACAATCCTCGCCGTCTAGCCATGAAGATCCACCACTACCTGCGTTTTGTGCGCTCACGGGGCATCAATATCCCAACAGACCCCACGGAATTGTCCTTCTGGGTCGCCCAGAATCTCATAATGAAGGACAATGTCAAGATATCACTCCTAGAATTGGATTGCGCCATTCAGAGACTCCAGGTGGAGGTCAAACTCCTGGCAAAACTCCAGGAGAAATTGTTCGTCTGCTCGGATTGTCGAACTGTCATTGCGAAACAGGTGGACGTCTTTCCGATGAACACCGAGGGCATTCAGAGTGCCTACTGCAACCCTCATGGGGCTATTCACGAGACTGTTACGGTTCATCGGGCCCAGTCACTTGTCTTGAGGCAGGATCCACCCTCTACGGAGTGCAGTTGGTTTCCGGGGTGAGTAAAGCTGGTGGGGCAACAGTTTCTGACGAATATCTCGGAATTCGATAGAGATAGCAAAATTTTGGTGAGAGACTTTTTTAAAGCTCTCAATTTTCTCTACAAAAAAGGTCATTACAATAATTTCGCTATCTCTGTTCGTATTGGAGATATTTCCCAAAAAGTGGATTATAAAATTGCGAAATTGTTTTTAATTCGATCACGTGAAAACTGTAAAAACTCAAAAATGAGAAAAACGAAAAAATGGGTGTTTCTCTGTCACTTACGCAGCAAAGGGCCTGAAATTGTCGCAGTTTACTCATTTTAGTGTGGCTAAGAAAATATAAACGAAAAGTCAAAATCGAAATTTGAAGGCCCAAAACCCAAGATAATTTTTGTGGAATTCATTTTTCAATTTTGGAAACTGATATAATCTAGGGGCAGGCTGAGAATTAATTTATTTCATTTATCTGAAAGCACATGGAAAGCACTTCAAAATAAATTTAAGCAGCAGATCTGGAATGATTCAATATAAAAATTGTTAAAGATCTGTTTTTGCAGCTAAAAATACATTTCCAGATAATTCCCTCTTTTTTACACTCCAGATATGCCTGGACGATTGCCAATTGCGCACGTTGTGGGTACCACAAGGGCTGGAAATTCACCGCAACTCGGTCAGACTTAATTCCCAAATCTTTCTGGGGTCTGACCAGCACAGGCTTCGTCTGGGGAGATCCAGATAAAAATGAGGACGATGACGACGAAGAAGACTGCGACGATTCCTCAGGGATCTTCGATCTCGAGGGGGTATAACATATTCGAATGAATATTTTTGTCTACGATGGATCATAGACGATTGAGTACTTACCTCTGGCCTTTTTTTCCTTTGTCATGAGTTCCCTCGACGACAATAATCCTTAAAAATATTTGATTCGCTGGATTGTATCAACTAATTCCCAAGTTTTTCATTCTACTCTATGTTTCATCGTTGACACGTGTGAATCGTTGAATTTTTGTAATTCATGTCATTTCTATAAAGTACTAGAGAGTGGGGAAATGGATTTTCGTAAATCTTCAATATATCCTGAACTAATGAATAAAATAAAAAAACTTGATCTCATTTTCAAAATTAGGAAAAAACCATTTTTTTTTCAATTTTACTCAGCAGATTTGGCGATATTGACGATTTAAAATTATTAATTTCAGTTGTGAAGTGGTAAAATGCAATGATTTTCCGTTCACACTTCATTTAACGTGGATAGAATTTTTTTATGAATAATTTACCACTTCCCCACCCATTTTACCCCACTCTTTCTCTGATAGATAATAAGAATAGCCCTTTCTATAAATTTATAACAAAAAAAATCCTTGCATTTAATCGTGGAAACTATAATCATCCCATCAGATGTCGAAAAATATTGTTTCCTAATGTATAATTTATGCTGCATTAAACTGCATAAAATCGTTCTATTGTAACGTGTTATTTTTGTTACAAATCATCTCACGGTTTTTGCGGACCGTCACGTGGGTTTCTTTCATCATTTTGGTCGCCACCAGACTTGTAGTGAAACCCTCATCAACGAGAGCCACGTCCGAGGCTTAACTTTCGTGTAACTTAGTCAAATTAATTATATTATTTTGGCTTTTTGGGGTTCATATACCACCCGCGTCCACGTTGCGAACCCTAAGTAACGCTACACACCCATATGGCTTGTTATAAAACTGCCATACCACGCGTTCTTGAATTCAATCGAAAATTCCGAATTTATAACGAATTTGACCCCAGTGGTTGTTCTGGTGAATAAAACGACCTGGCGCCCAATTTCTGTATGAGCTAGGGCCAGAGGGCTGCACAGTAGAACCAGAATTGTCGTGAGGCGTCGAAAATTATGTCACAATATTCCCCTCACTCTCCCAATTCAACAAACCATTAAGATGACTGATTCCTCTCATTTAATTAATCACTAAATATCAATGAATTGTATCACCAAATAATTGCTTCGATGCCATTGCGCCCTCCGTTATTAATTAATATTATTATTATTATCGTTATTATTATTGTTATAATTATAATCATATTCTGTATTTCTTCATTTTCCCATTCTATTCGCAGACTGCTAATAATCGCTTAGCGGTTTTTTTTTTCTCAAAATTCTCTCATTTTTCATTAAATCATTTAATATTTTTCCTCTCGTCAGAATTGTTTCTTTCCTTTCACTGGCGTGGAAGAAATTAATTTATTACAAATTTAGATTAGAAGGTACGGCAGGATGAGTGATGATCTCTTTCACCTCGTGGGGGCTGGAGGGAAATCCTGCTGCCAGTGAAACCATCGAGTCCGTCATCCAATGGTCTCCTCGTTATTTCTTCCAATTTTTTTATTCACCCACTCGTCCCGTTACCATGATTCCTACCCATCTGGTCACTTCATGATTTCATTTTTCTATTGTGATTTAATTTATAAGTCTGAAACAATTGGAGATTTAAGGATAATTTGAGGGGAATTAATTATTCAATTTTATTTGGTAAATTAGTTGGATTTGGGAATTTCTGGGGTTGTTTTGAAGATTGATGAGAGGGGGTGAAGGTGACGCAGGTTTTTCTGACTTTTATGCAGACAATCGCGAGCTTCTGATTGTTGGAGACAGTTTATTTTGTCATGTGTTAAGGATATCCAAGTAGCTTTTACAGTTTGGTACAGACCACACTATAGATTCAACCTTTTTTAATTATCAAATTTATCAATTAAATTGCGTGACACAAATCTGAAAATATTTGTGAATATTCAGCGTCATTCAAATTACATTTCGCACAGATTTATTATTTTTTTAAGCAATCGTTGTTGATAAATAAAAGATTGAAATTGTTTAAACTTTCGGAAACTGAATTTTTTAGGCATGAGATCGATTTCTAGTAAAAGTCTGAATATGAATAAATTTATTAGGATTTCGAACAAATGATATTTAAAAACTGATTGAAAAATTGATTGTTCATAAATTATTTATAAAAAATGCTCGTAATTTTCAATTATTACATCAATCTTTCTCCAAAAGTAAACTTTTAAATTTTCTTTCACAAATTTTAAAAATGTTTTCTAACTGTTCAATATCGAAAGTCAAATTCAAAGCTGCAAACGAAAATAATAAAATAATAAATAATAACATCATTGTAAAATGTCTGATGTTGACTAGAAAAGCATAAAAACATTTCGCTGAAGAAAAAATAGCCAAAGTACTTGGATATCCTTAATAGAAAAATTGATAAAACTCACTCTCGATTTCCGGCCCTGCGGAAATGAGCTTAGTGTGCGGTTGTGCAGCTGTGCTTGATTGTTGACCATTCAACTGAGTTGACGATGGACCGCCAAAGCCCGGAGGTGGCTGCATTGCCCAGTGCTGAGCTGGTGCACTTTGCTCCTGTTAAATTAATCCAATCATGATACTTTACTAATCTCATCGCATAACTATCCCCTGACATTTTCCAATGGTTAATAATTAATACCAAAATTAATAAGAGAAGCAAAAATACCATGAAACAAAAAATAACAATTAATGACAATAATTAACGAAATAAACTGTAAATTCTATTCCAATTTTTTCAACAGAAACTAGACAACTTTTTCCATTGAGCCATTTTCAATAAAAACCCCTCGATATTAAATTTCCCAGTCCTTTTCACAAATTCTTTTTCCCCTTTTCATTAAGAAACCAAACGAAAAACTCCAACAGAACTTTCTACCTCATTCATTAATTCTTGTAGTGATTTTTTCATTAAAAAAAAACAAACACCCAAAATGAAAGAAATTAAAGCAGAAAAATGATTTTGTCACCTGTTGCGCATTGTGTGGCACATGTGAGCTCGGATGAATCCTGGGGAACTGCCACGTGCTAGTCCCCTGGAAGGGCACAGGTCTCGATGAACTAACAATAGCCGGATCGATGCTTGTCCAATCAGCAACAGGTCCAAAATTATTCCACCCCTTCTGGCCAAGCCCCTGATGACTGAACACATGCCCCTGTCCCTGCTGTCCCCCATTAATCTCACACCAGTCCTTGATACCATAAACCCCATCTCCCGTGCACTTGTGAATCCCCTGAGGTGCAATGACATTGCCATTGGGAAGATACGAGCTCTGCTGAGGAGCCGAATTATTGGGTGCAGGGCGTGGTATTCCAAGGCCAAACGAGTTCATGTGATTGGGAGTTGACCCAGGAAATCCAGGTGGTGGTAATCTTGATCTCTGGCCGATGCTGGCGACTGGCATTGACGGCTGAACAGGGCTCTGGTTGCCAGTGGCAATCATGCCCTGTGGAAGACGTGATATCAAACTGTGGGACTGCTGGATCACCTGGATATTCTGGAGCTGGTGGGCCTGATGGAGATGCGCCAGGTGTGTCACTTGGGTGAAGTGCTGGGGCTGGAGGCTCTGGGCGATGTTCTGGTGATTTCTACTTGTCTCCTCGCGCTCCCTGTGCATCTGCTGCTGCTGCTGCTGCTGGTGATTGTGGAAATAGTGGTTGTGACGGTGGTTGTGATGGTTCTGCTGCTGCTGTTGCTGCTGCTGCTGCTGTTGGAGGAGTCTCTGCTGCTGCAACTGCATCTCGTTCTCCATTAGCTCAGCTAGGGCCTTCTGGGTTTCGTGGAAGGGATCGAAGCCCAGGTCGTCGTCCACCTTCATGTCGTTGCTCTCTGGTTTGTCCAGGATGTGGCCGTTCTGCTTTATGTATTCACAGTTCTCTTGGTTTTGTTGGGCTTGCAGGGAGAGTCTTTGTTGGAGGGAGTTCTGCTGGAAGTCTGCCATGAATTTCGAGGCTGGGGTCGATGTCATTATTATGGAGGGATCGAAGTCACGGAGCTTTGAGTACTGGGGGTCTAGGTAGTCCTCGTCGTCGAGGAAATTTTCAGCGTTGAAAGGCACGCTGGGTGATGCTGTTGGGCTTTGGGGGGGCACCAGGGACTGTTGATGGTTCGAGTGACGTTTCTCGGGTTGAAAGCCGAAGGCTGCCTGCCAATCCTCGGTTGAGTGGACTGACGGCAGGGAGTCGGGGATTGACGAGAGGGCTGGGGCTGTCCAGTCGATGCTGGGGTTTGCTGGGGAGAAAAGGAGATTAGTGGTTTTGGAAAAATTGACGATATCGTTGCAGTGAGTGGATTTATCGAAAAGTTTAAAGAGAACTTTTTTGTGGGGAATTTTGGGGGCTACAAAAAGTGTTCTATGAGGTTTTTTGATAGAGCCACTCGTTTTGAAGATATCAAGTTTTTTCGAGAGAAAATCGAAAAAAAAAATTAAAATAACCAAAAATGATGATTTATGAATCTTGAATCTCTCCGGAAGCGATAATACGGTTCGGATGAATTCGGGCTCATTCTAAAAAAGATTAAAAATGCTTCGAACTGAATAAAAATTTTGAAATTCCACTCAGCCATTTCCAAGTTATTCAATATTAAAATCTAAAATTTTAAGAGAATGAACCATTTTTAACAGAAAATCATGCAAAAAATGTAGTTTGGAGCATTGATTCTACCTGACTGTGAATTCTGTGGCACTGACACGACAGTGGATATTTTCTGAAACGTATTGGAGCTAAAGAAACTGTTGTTATCTGTTTGAAATAACGACCGATGATTAACTTGCGTTTGCAATCCATTAGAATTAGTATTTATTGGATGTAAACCAGGTGGTGCTTGGCTGACTGACGCTAGACTAGCGTTTGTGTTCGTTATCGGTGATGTGCCTGGAACAACGAATGAAGACATCTCTACACTACAAGACTAAAATTATATCGGTTTTCAGCGGTTCAATTTAATGTCGAAATAAGAGATTGGGTCTTTTATTTCGGCATTGAATTGATAATATCGGGGGGTGATGGAGCGCATCAATGGTGGTGCTTGAATTTTATGGAGTGAAAAACAAATTCATACAAAAAACAAGTGGGAAATTGCCTTTGTCTTCTTATAGCAAAGCTATTTTTGCTAGTAAATCAGCATTTATCGGTTTAAACTGTTTTGTTCAATTAAATTATATTTTTTTGATCAATTGCGTTAGATTTGTCGTGAAAATTCTTATATAAATTAAATGAAAGAATGATTTTACCTATATTATCTTGAAACATTGATAAAAGGGTGTTAAAAAAAATTTGTTCGTGCATAATTGAATGAATTTGAAACATCATATTTGAAGAAACCGTCAGAAAATTAACTTTCAGGGAAATTTTGGAAAATTTCAAAATTTCCTAAATATAATTATCTTAATGATCTTCTAACTCCAACGGGGTGGCATCAAAACAAATATTCTGAGCTATGATTTAATTATTTTGAAGCATGATATCTCTGGAATTCTCATTCTCAAAAAGTACGAAATTTTGGAAAATTATTCTGTAGATCGAAACGACGATTATTGCTGTCGCCGATACAATTTTACAATTGTGCAATTTTTTTAGGCCATCATTCAATAAATTCAGAATATTCTTTTAGTTATCGTGGGACAACCGATTTTCGAAAAAATTCTATAAATCAACATATGCATTAAATTTTGATTAATGCGATGGATGGGGCTCAACAATCCCTGCATTTGAAAAAAAAATGCATAAATGACCGAATTCTTCCTCGAATGTGGAAAACCCCTTCAAAGAATTCCTTAAAAACTCACCTAAAACACTGGGATCGCAGTTATCGTCATGAACAACGAGTCTCTCAGGCCCATTGCTGGCACAATCATCGGAACTACTGGACGCCGTGCTGGCTGGTGTGCTGCCCTCCCTCTGCGGTTCACTCTCACTCTCCGAGGTCTCACAATTACGTGTAACACCATTTAATTTAATATCCCTCATAGCCTGTTCAATACTCGTAGCTGAATCGCTATTTTGCCGTTGTCGATGCACCCCCTGATCATCGTTGCACCTTCCATTAGCACTTCCATCACTACTCTGCTCGTCATTGAAGCTCCTGATGTCCTTCTGTCCATCAATTTGTTGTTTATCACTTGCCATCCCATGACCACTGGAACTGGACTCTGATCTCGATGTTGTACGTGTCGTACCGTGTTTCTCTTTATTCTGGGTATTTTTGTGCTTATTTCGCACTGCCTGGACCTTGCTCTCGCTGTTGCTCTTACCACGACGTGAGCTCGAGCCAATGCCCTCGCCCTTGTTGTTGTTGTTCTGCTGCTGCGTCGAGTTGTTGTTCGACTGGGCTGACGGTATCCCAGCAGATGGGGCTGAACAATTCGCCTGTGGTGGAGATTGCGATGGGGGAGAGGAGTCTTTACTTATTGATGAAGTGCCTGAGAGCAATTAAAAAATTGTCAGCAAAAAGCCCTCATTTTTTTTTAAAGATATGAATACATTTGTCAAGAAAACTGTTCATATCTTTGAAACCAGTGGCTGTATCAAAAAACATTAGGAGGCATTTTTTCTGCGGAATTTCGGGGGCTACAAAAAATGTTATTAGATGTTTTTTGATACAGCCACTCGTTTCGAAGATATCGGCAGTTTTTTTTAAAGGAAAATGAGATATTTACTGTTTGTTTGACCAGGTTGCAACGATGGCCACGCTTCCTTTGTCTGAGAATTCTGTACTGCACCATTTTCGCGGATTGTGGTACCCGTCACTGGAGGCGATGGAGTCGGTTTCCTGAAATTAGAAATTACGAAATTACCCTTCGCTCCGCATCTTCAATATATTTTTTCTAGTCGAGAAAATTCTCTGAAAGAAGTGCCTTTCGCCATTTCGTCAACGAAATAATAATCCTCAATTAATTTCGTAAACAAAATCTAGAACTGATGTTTTGACTAGTCGACGAAAGGATAATTCCACAATGAACTCTAATGAAAAAAATTATTGATGTTTTGAATTCTTACCGATTGACTGCTAATGTCGCAGAGACATGCAACGATTGCACGAGTTTGCGTTCGTACTCTTGATGCTTTCCCTGATGCATCTCCTCCTTGGTGAACGACGCCTCCTGATCCCCCAGATCGTGCAGATACATGCAGTCCGGCTTTGGACACGCTTGATTTCGCATGAAGTGTGAACAATACTTGGTGGTGCCTAGTGACGTTTTTATCGTTCTAGCGTCCACTTGAATATTGTTCACTGCTTCTATCGCGCGTAGCGCATCTTCCTGGCGCTGAAGAGGTATTTTTTTATGTAGTTCAGGTGAAATAATGGTGGGAGAGTTCAAGGAACGACGGCACGAGTTGGTTTTACGGTGGGACTAATTTGTTTTTGGGGGACATTTTTGAATAGCTGGAAATTTGGATTGAGGGACAATTTCGCTGGGTTTTTAGGGAATTTCGTCATTGGGAATTCATAATTTGGGAGAAAAACGCACGGAATTGTCAATTTAAGCTCAATCATTCCGTGAAAATGAGTGAAAATTAGGGGAATTCAGGTAGATTCAGGAATTCTCGTCTCCTGCTGCTCAAAAAACTGAATTTGCTTTGAATTTTCAAAAAAATTTGATATTTTATCATTTTGTTTATGACTTTCAATTTTTTTGCGACAATTTCCGGCTAAAATTTCTGGTAAACTTCTTTCTAATTTTTATTAAGTGACATTTCTACTGACATTTCAAGGAATTTGATTATTGAAAATTCAGAATTTAATGGAAAAATCAGCGAAAATGGTAAAATTCAGTTAAATTATTCCATGCAAATTAATAGAAATCAGAAAAATTTTCTGGAGTTGTCAAATAATTGAAAATACAAATGAATTGAGAAATTTTCATTTTCCTAATACTTAAAAATTGAGGTTTCTATTGAATTTTTAACGAAATTTGAAATTTTATGATTTTTGTCTATGGAATTACAGTTTTTTTTAGTTTTCAAAAAATTTCATTTTTGGATCTACAATTTGATGGAAAAATCAATGGAAATTGTCAATTTCAGTTCAATTATTTCATGAAAAATAACAGAAATCAGGAAAATTGAATTTAATATTATCATTATTATTTAACTTTTTGCTATTATTTTCTAAACTGTCTCTGAAATTCCAATTTTTCCTGACAGTGTATGAAAAATAATCATGAAAAATTCATCTGCAAGTCAGACCACCTCGTTCTATTTCATCATTGAACTAATTAGTTCCCTGTAATTACGATGAAAAATTTGTCATCAGTTTTACTAAAATTTTTACGAACCTGATAAGTCACATACGCCGAGGCACTAGGCCCTTGAGACCCCGCATACGATGTACTCTGATTAATAACGACTTTATGTATCTTCCCAAATTTACCGAAGTACTCGTGTCTCTTGAGAACCTGGAATACTTATTGTGAGTGGCATTATGATTCAAGGGATGTTGATTTTGGGGGATCATTCAATCAATTCAACACAAATGCTCACTCTCGATAGAAATAAAACACCAAATTGTGAATGCAATTGTTGTTCAAGTGAGGAAATATATTTGTTCTCTCACCCCCAATTTTTGAAGGGTCATTATAATGCACTTACATCGGCGTCCGCCAGCCGCATGGGGAGACCAACAACGAACACAAGATTTTTTTGAACTACTCGAACATTAGCTAGATGTTTTCGATTTTCCGTGACACGTTGTTTACGTTGCTGATCCTTCAGCCTTTTTTCAGCCTTCAACCTGGTGAAATAATAATTATTATTCGTTCGTCGAGAATTATTCTTCGCTTCAGCTGTCGGAATTGATATTTTAACATCAGATCATATGATTTTTTTATGAATATTTGCAGAGGCATTTTTAGAGGATTATTTTATTACGAGTCGTCACTGATTTTACGTTTGACAAATTAGTTTTTGGGGAATACTTTTAAATCTACTTGGTAATTTTTTCGAGTGACAATTTCACGAGAATTTCAAGCAATCTGGGCATTGAAAACTGCCATGAGTTGAGGAATTGTCTTCCAGCTGTTCAAAAATTTGGATTTCTCGTAAATTTTCAGTGAAATTTTTCAATTCATAATTTTTTCTACAAAATTTCAGTTTTTTGCTGAAATTTGCGGTCTTCTTCTTGGTAATTTTTATCTGTTGACAGTTTCAGTGAAATTTCGAATAATGTTGTCATTGAAAATTCATAGATTGATGAAAATAGTAAATTCCAGTTTAATAATTCCCTGAAGACTTATAAAAATCAAGAAAATTCAGGGAAATATATTTTTCAATTTTCAAATAATTTAAAATTCAACATGTGTTGCAAATCTCAATAAAGTGGTTACTCCAATGAAATTTCCCTCTTGATAAATTCTTCAGAATGTCAAAATGATTGAAATCCACAAGTAGAATCACCTAATTTACTAATATGTATTGAAAATCTTAATAAAATAATGACTCCCATCATATTTCTCTCTTGATAAATTCTTCAGACTATCTAAATGATTGAAGTTCATAGGCAGATTCACCTTATTTACTAAAATGTGATAAAAATGTCTTAATAAAATGATAAAAACCTCGATATTTCCTCCTTCGACAGGGGCTTAAAATCGGCGGGGTTCTCAGAATAGGCCTTCCTGCATGCAGGACACAGGCCATTCTCGTCTGTACGAATTCTGTGCCAGCAAAATCTACATATTTGATATCCACATGTGCATGGAAAAAAATTAAGATCGTCCACTTCCAGGGGCTCCATACACAGTGGACACTCAACAGCATCCTCACCACTCTGATTCAATACCGACATTATCACTTTCCACTGAATTTCCTCCTCAACCTCGCAACAAACTCCCTGATTTACTATTTATAAATTCGATATTCCTCACCGGATCGTCGACTCCACAATCCACAATCTTGAAAAATTCATTAAATCATCAAATAATCCTCAAAATTCACCAACGAAACTCGTAAAACCACTCACTCGGTCGATTTATCCAATTATGAACAGTTAAATCCTAACGTCCCATGAACCTTTACACCGATTCGACAAGAATTATGGATCCCGTTGTGTATTTGTCTGAAACAAAAATCAAATCATCTGTCAGAATTTAAGTACACCTAAACTTGAGGCTAAATGAAGTATCTTCAATCGTCAATATCTCGACATCTGCTGAGTGAAACTCAACAATTTTTTTTCACTTTCAAGGTAATTTTTCAGCCCTCAAAATGAGCACAGATCCATCCAAATTGCACCATTTGATCAGCAGGAATCAAAGATTGAAGACAACAAATTTAACTTCACTCAAAAAAAAGGGATCAAATAAATGATCTTCAATCGCCGATATCTCGACATCTGCTGAGTGAAACTCAACAATTTTTTTTTCATTTTCAAGTTAATTTTTCGCCCTTCAAAATGAGCCTTGACCCATCCCAATCATTTCACCACACCAGGAGATGTCAACGATCAAAGAACCATCTTTCCTCCCACTTTTTCCAACCCACAAAAACCCCTCAAAACAAAAAAGTCTCAAAAAAAATCCCCAAACCAATTTCTCCACAGAAAACAGCACTCCCCCCTCCCCGGGCATCAACAACACGATCGTAAACTTCAATTGACGCACAACCGAGACGTCAAGAATTTTGACAGGAGCTGTCATCGATTCCCAGAACAAAGACTCTCCCCCCGACACCAGAAGGACCCCCCTGTCACTCCCCTGCAAATCTACCGGCCCGAGTCCCCCCTGAACCCCCGAAAAGCCCCGGAGAAAGCCCCCCCCGCCGAAAAATCGAAAATAAACCCGAAAACCTGCGATGAAGTGTGGAAACAGCTGTTGGTGGGTTGAACCCCTGTTCGAAACGTCACAGCACCGAGCGCTGCTGGTCCTCCCGACCCTGTGCACCCCCAAAATCGCGATTTCCTGGTGCCCCCGGAGCCCCCCGCGAGTCCGCCCCCCGACCATCAGCCCGACAAACCCGAAAAATCGAGTGAAAAACCCTCGGAAAAAATCCAATTACCCGTCCGTCGTGGATATGGCGTCGGATTGTTGCCCTGAAAATGAAGGGAGAGAGAGACACGACAGCACCTTCACAACAATACCCTGACCACTCGAAAATAAAAACCCGCAAAAAACCCAGCGAAACGCGAAAACTGTTGAATAAATGAGCCACGAAAACCGGAGGGTAAAATGACTCGGACTCCAAAACGCATTCGCGATTGTAACTTCACGTTATGTCTCACTGTCTCTGTCTCTTTGTAGCGAATACAAATGGGTGGGGGAACGGCGGAGGAGGGAGGGCATTAGTACCTTCATCTCAGTATTTTCGTTTTTTTTGTCACTCACGATTGCCTCTCATTCTGTTTTGGAGAATAACAGAGGGAGAGAATTGGGCAAATTGAGTGAACAGAAAAGGTTAATTTCGGGGAGACGAGGACAGAAGTGAACTGAGGACTCGGCTATTTTTTCTATTTTCCTTTTTCGCCTCCTCAAGGATTTCCCACTAATGTCACAGGTTTACACTTCACTGGGATTTTTTACGGTGCGAGGGAGGGGCGAGGGAATGAGAGGGAATGAGAGCAGTTGTCGGGAGTGGAGAGAGAACGGAGGAGATTTAAGGCTGATTGTGCCCATTGGATTTAACCTTAATTTTTCATCGGAACAACAATCCCACGGATTCGCTGCGATCTGCGGTTCACAGGGCTCTGGGGGCTCTAGGGGGCTTCGGAGGGCTCCGGGGAGGGGGCGAGCGGAGGGCGATTGTTAAGCCGTTGTTTACTTACGTATTCAACTTTTCCACTACAAATATATTTTTTCTACTGGGTAATTTTTTTTTATGTATGCGAGAATTCGAGAGGGCACCCTTGTTTCCACTGAAGTCCACTGGGGGATGCGCGGGGGATGTGCGCAGGCGGATTGGGAGGTTGCACACTCTTCCGGGGCAGGCCGGAAGTCGCGGGCTGGAGGGAGTTTTGAAATTGCGAGGGGGAGAGGGGAAACGCGTGGTTCAACAGAATTAGGGGAGGGTGGGGTAAAACGGACACTTCAGACTTTTTAAAATTAATTATTATATAATTATTATTATTATTTATTATTAATTATTATTTAATTATTCATAACTCCGAAAGAAATTGAGCAATTGAGATCAGTTTAGGGTCATCACAAAGGGAAAGAATTATTCTCTGTGTTGAAAAAAATATATTAAATTTTATCAACATTTCAACCCCTCATTAATATTTTTAAAAAAGTCAAAAGTGTCCATTTTACCCCACCCTCCCGTAAGTTAAATTAAATTGGGCTATTGAGTATCGCTCTGCTATTTATTATAAAAATATACTAATATATTAAAATATATGAATAAATATAAAAAAATATTTAATATATTAATATATTTGTATTGCGAAAAAATTTATTAAAATATTATTACTGATTATCTTGACATTTCGTTTTTAATAGATCGGAAATGTTTTTTATGGCGACTCGAGACTAGAATTTTTGTCATTGTTAAGTATTTATTATTAAATTAAATGGCAATGAAATGTTCTCCACTAAAATATTTTTTCGTAGCGACTAATAATCTTTCAATTGAGTCATTTAATTACAATTCATCTAATTAATTTGAATTATGGAGAAATATTGTCTAGATGTCTTATGATAATTAATTGAAAATCAGTCGTTTTCGAGGCCAATTTTTCGGTCATGACGTCACGAAGACGGTCAGGTAACGCTTCATTGGTCGAAAAAGAAAAGAGTGGGGAGTTGTCGTCCTCCATTGGCCGAGGCCTACTCAAGATTGGGTTAGGTCGGCTCTAGCCATTCTGTGATTGGTCCAGCGCTCGACCTTTTGTGACGTTTTACCGATTCTAAAGTGTTTGAAATCTTCAACTTTTAACAATTAATTAAAAATTAATTTCAAACGTTTGCGAATGAAAAATTAATTATTTGGGGCTCAAACTTAAGATTAGAAAATTGAAAGGGTTCAAGTAGCATAAACATAACTTAAATTTTGAAGATATTGAGATTGTGGGCTTTTCAAGGTAAATTTTCACGTTATAAAGTTTATGAAGTAAAATGAAGATAATGGAGAAACTATTCTCCAATTTTTCAAGTAGAGAAAATGAAAATCTTTGGAATAAACTGTCAACTGTTCAAATTTATATTATTTTGTTTTCGTCGTTTAAGCCGTTATTCTCCTGTTTTTAATGAATAAATTTTCAATAGCGGATTTTCGAAACAGTCTCTCAAGTTTTCTTCTCCACAAATGTGAATAATGAATTAATAATAGAACACAAAAATGAAAACCTTCAGAAATTGCATAATTTATTGAAAATCAGTTTGATAAATTTCTCTTATTACAGACAGAAAAATACAATGACTCTGAATTGAACATCAATCACTAAAAACTCTAGGATTCCATATACTCAAAGATGAATGAATCGATATGTACACCTATACCTAAGAGAAAAAAATCTGAATACAATGAGGATGTTGGTAGGAAAAAATAGCTAAAATTGATTGAAGGCACGAGATATAGGTCGCAGTAGATCCTCCAGGTGTACAGATCCGTCGAGAGATCCGTTGGATCCAGTTAAATTCAACGTCCAGTCCACAAGTGACAAGACACCAACAAATTGCAAATTCCAGTCCCAGTAATCGTCTCTGATAATCGAGACGAGTGGGACGTAAATGACAATCTGAGCCAAATGCTATCGGGAAACTTCCTCCAGCCCGTCCTCGAGGCTCGGGGACTTGGGGAGAAGATCGGCATTCACGAAGAATACGAGATAGGCAGTGGTTTGAGCAGCTGTGAGGGCTTCACTCGTTGACATTGGCGTTACATTCATGTCGTTGTAATGAAACCACTGGTCACCGTGCTTCACATAACTTGTGTAATGCCCACAGTCCATTGCACTGCCTACGTGAGCTATTATACACACTGGAATGAATTTCTGGCACTGTCGATCCTCACTTTTTCTGAAAATAAAGTTTAAAAAATTAATAACATGATTAAAACGTTTATTCTTAAATGTTATTCTCACATTATTGAAAGTACTCAAGCGGATGGAGGTCATGTGAGTGAGATTAATCATTCGTTTCGTTATCTCCAGTGGACTACACTGATAAAATTAAGAAAACATTTTTATTGAGATGTTTTTTTCTCGGAACAAGTATTATATACTTGAACCAATTCCAAGTAAATGAGATCTTACGGTGAATATCAATTATTTCTTGAGATACATTTACTTCAATCAAATAAAACAGTCCTGGGTGTCAAGCCACATGTATTCACCACAAAAATGGAAAAGTTCTATTTTTTTTTAAACCAATATAATCTCCAGTAGAGAAATTTTCTACTTTCATGAATTGATCAAAAATTCGCACCTAGGAGACGATTACATTGAGGAACGAATTGAATGTTGTTTTCTCGAAATTTGTGATATCCAAGTTTGTGTAGAATTTCCGTAATCTGCGATTCTGTTATTGTATACTGCGATTTTTTAAGTCAAGAAATATCAACTTCTTTCAACTCAACGACATCTTACTACAATCTCAAAGCTTTTTCCGCGTAACAATATTCGTCCTGATTCGACATACGAAATACTCACTTCAATTATAATTTACTTGGAACAACGTATGATCGTGTTGAGTGACATAACAACGTATTTAGTCATGAGAATAATTTTGATTTTTGGGTAAACCAACGGATTTCTGGCACGAGTTGGCAAACATTTGGCAAGAAAGAAATCAAATACCCTCATTATTGCGACAAATAAAAGGAACTTTAATTCTAGAGTTCGACTTCTCCCAATCAAATGCATCTCAAGAAGAGATAACTGGTATTCACTATGAAATCATGTTTATTTGAAAATTAACAACCAAATTATGGTTTGTTCAAATACAACTCTCTTGATACCATTAATTTTTTCTCTCAGTGTGGACTATTCAAGATAACTATCCCGATTATCGAGGGAGTCGAAATATTTAAAAACCATTTTTGTTCGTTTATTCTCTCGTTTCATTCATCAGAGAGTGAACTAGTGTTTCCTGGTGATCTATTAATTTCTCTTATCCCTTTTTTCGTTTTCCCCAGGATTCCCGCCTGAAATTCATCATCTCACGACATTTATCACGAAGAAAATCCCACGAAAATCCCCAAATAATTGAACAACTCCGTCTTTCCCATAAAATGAATAAACTCACCCTTCGTCAGTGCTGATCTCCAGTATCTCAGAAATATGAACAACGGAATTCATCTTGGCGACGTATCCATCACTCATTCCATACCGATTTATCTGCACAATGAGCACATTTGGAAGTCCTCTGAAGGTGGTGAAGAGCTTGTGCTTCTCGCATTTGCACTTGCCACAGGTGAGAGTTCTGTCCTCAGGCTCGAGGCTTTTTCCAATGGCATCAGCCAGTTCGATGGGGTCAGTCGCGTTCTCCGGTAGATCGACGTACAGCATCATGTTGTCGACCTTGCGCTGACGGTGTTTATGACAGTTCTGGCAGACATAGCGCTCCATCATGGGGAGGAGGAAGAACTCGTCGATGGGATTCAGAATGGACTCCGATGATTCCTCAGTGGACTCGTGGGACTTTGGACTGCATGCGGAGACATCACTGCAATCATTTCTGCTCTTGAAGGGGGAAATTTGGGCAAGTGGTGGACGTTTCAGCGGCGTCTGGGGGGATCTCTGAGTGGCTTTTACGACACTCGCTTCGGGAACGTTCTCAGTCTCGTCAGGGCTCTTCATCTCTTTGATTATTTTCTCACAGTCGTTCTTCACGTGATTCAGGAGCTTCATCAGGAATTCGGAGACGTCCTGCTGACGGTAGGACGAGTAGGTGTCGTCCAGGATGTCCAATTGGTTTTTGAATCGACTGCATATTGATACTTTATATTAAACTGAGAACAGGACAACTTTTGGAATTTTTTTCTGGGAGAATTTCAGCTACAGAAAATGAAGATTTATTTGTCTCTTTGACTTTCAGAGGAATTGAACGAAAATTAATTACTTAATTCGGGTGTCTCATTTTTTAATTTTATATTTGTCTCAGTGAGGAGGAATTTCAAGCAGTAGTTTGTCAAATTTCTAAAATCATTCATTACCGAAATCATTATGACGCAAAAAAATAAGCTGGTAAAAATTTCCTATGAAAAAAGTTATTCATAATAATTTATGTATTTTTCAGAGAATTGAAGATGCTTTCCAAAAAATTAATCTAAAAATTCGAGTGATCTTATTCGTCAATCCAAATTTTTCATTTTTTCTTCTTTATCTTTAACGAATAATTTTATTAAAAAATACCAAGAGATGAATAAATGACTAAGTAAAGATTTTTGTATCTCGTAAAGTTACTTAAAACCTTTCTCCAAAAAAGTTGTCCACGAAAACTTCTCCACTTTCCAAAGATTGAGATAAATTATCTAAAAACTGAAATAAAATTTGAATTTTTCAATTTCAAATCTTTCAAATTTAAGTCGTTCCTCCTTCTCCATTCATCCCACCAAATAATGACTCCGTAGATCTAAATAATCCCCAAACAAACAGACCAAAAAATCCCGGAAAATTCCTCCAAAAAACTTACGCGACAGTTTGATAGGTCTTCTCCCTGTCAGCAGCCCCCCTCCTCCAGAACAACTGAATAGCCATGAGTGTCTTGGTGAGCATGGAGCACCTGGTCATGTCGAGCCTCCCCAGGGGATCCACCAGAGGTAGCGCAAAGATCGTCTGCAGAGTGGCATTGAGCCAGCACCGATTTTCCGCTGGTGGATTTGGAAACCCAGTCATGTAGAAGGGCTCCTCAGGCTGTAGCTGGTCGAATGGATCCTCGGCGGGGACTGGGGCACTGCCGTCGTCCCAATTGTCCCAATTGCTGGTCTGTGGATTGTGCCAGATCTCCTGGCGTTCGCAGTATGGATTCACCCAGTTGTCCTGCTGATTGTACTCCCAGTTCTCCTGCTGAATTTTATTCCAGTTCTCCTCCTGCAGTTTATTCCAGTTCTCCTCGCTGTTCCAATTGTCCCCCTGGAGCTGGCTCTCCGAGGGGCTGGTGCCCTCCGAGAGGTCATTCCTGGGGACATTTATGCCCTCGTCTGGCTGCGACTCCTCGATTGTCGAGTCCAGAGCAGGCCTGCGCTTGGAATAATCAACATCATTGTCATCTGACTTCAACATCTTGATAGCTGCTGACATTCTGGACTCTGACCCTCGCTTGCGCTTTCCCCCAGCCTCCAATGGAGAACTGCTGAGTCCTTGGGGAGAAGGTTTTGCTTTTTCGTCAGGATTTTTCTCATCATAATTTTTTTCCTCGTCTTTCTTCTCTTTTTCCTCAATTGATTTCCCATCGACTTCGTTTGGGGACTGGATCTTTGGCTGAGGAACAGCCTCTGAAGACTTGTCGGCGAGTCCATCACCAGTCGATTCCTTGGAGCTGGATTCAGCTTCAGCAGCCTTTTGAGACGCCTCTTTGGACACGGGGTTGACGCAGAGACTGTGCGTCGGGGTTTTTTCTTGCTTCAGCAGTGTCACCGCATGTCTTCGTGGCTTGGACGTGCTTATGGTGTTCGAGTGGATCTTGGAGATTGGGATTTTTGATTTTGGTGTCTTGTCGGCGGCGATTGGGTGACTGGAGACCTCGATGTTCAGTTCGAGGGGGTCGCTCAGGCGGAGGGAGAGGTTTTTTCTTGATGTCGTCGCTCTGCAGCGGCGCTTGGAGATCGCGTTGTAGTCGCAACTCCAGGATCGATCCTTTCGCTCTGGGGAGGAGAGATGAGGTGGGGTGAGGGCTTTCGTCGAATGGAGATTTTGGCTTGTGGAGAATATTTATTTTTGGGGAGAAGATTGAGAGCTACAAAATGGTTTTTATGATCACTGGGTGGGTTTTCGTTGGGTTCTGAGATATTTTAAAAAATTATGGAGTTCATTTCCTACGAACTACATAATTATCTCTTCAGAAATTTGTTTCACGGAGAATAGTGAAAATATATTTTTGCTTCCGAATCTTTGCCTTGGCGATTGTAATTTGAATGATGCTGAATATTCATATTTTTTTGCAATTTTTCTCACGCAATTTAATTGACGAAGTTGACAATTGGAAATGGTTAACTGTCGAAGGAAAATTGATGAAATGTTTTGAAAATTGCAGTTTTTGAAAATTATGAATATTTCCTATAAATAATTTATAGGCAATCAATCAAAAATGTGATTTAGATGACGCTGAATATTCATGATTTTTTTTTGATTTTTCTATCTCAATTTAATTGACAAATTTGACAATTGAAAATGGTTAAAAAGATACTTGGATATCCCTAATGATATCGATTTTATTATTTGAACTTTGCAGGTTTGAATTTGAATCTCGATATTGAAGGGTTACAAAACATTTTAATAATCTGACTAAAAAATTTGTAAGTTTACTTTGAAGGAAGATGAAATACTTCAAAAATTGCAATTGTTAAAAATCACGAGATTTTTTATAACTCTCTGTCTATTATAAAAATCCAAATCGACTTCTGGTGATGAAAATTTAGTCCTCGATATTAAGTCTGCAATGAAGAGTTAAAAATCAAGGGTCATGTGGGGGTTGGCGAACGGAGCGATCAGAGGGCGTACCCCCCAGTAATTTATAAACAATCAATTTTCCACCACAAAAATCATTTGTTCAGAATCGTAAAAAATTTGCTCATATTCAGAATTTTACCAGAAATCGATTTCATGCCTGAAAAATAAGTTTTCCGAAACTTTAAACAATTTCAACTATTTATTCATAAACAACGAATGTTCAAAAAATAATAATTCAGTGCAATACGTGATTAGAATGATGCTGAATAGTCGTGATATTTTTTCAGATTTTTCTCCCTCAATTAAATTGACAAATTTGACAATTGAAAAAGGTTGAATCAACATTCTGGTCTGTACCAAACTGTACGACACTTTAATGACCAAATTTTCTCTTAATACAGACGAGTTCGTTCATGACTTAAAAACATTTGAACCAAGCAAACAAATAAATAAATAAATTAAAAAAATAGTTGAATGAATCATTACTTCCCTGAACGATTCCTTCAATAATCTGCAATAAAATTCGCCAAATTTTCACTCACCTGGTGTAGTGTTTTGAGGTGTCCCCGGACACATAGCCCGGTGGACCGTGGCCGTCGTGACACTCAGCATTCTCCCGGAGCGAAAAACCCCTCAATCCGATGTCCTCCCCCAGAGATGCTCCCCAGACGCACTCCCACGGCACAAACAGCCCCCGAAACCCAAAAATTGTCTTCACATAAATAAACACAATCCGCACGTTGTGACCCAGCTCTCGGCGAGAAGACCCAGAGGACTCGATGAAGCCTTGATACTCCTGATCACTGAGTTGGTAACATCCTCACGATTGTTTGCCGCCGAAAAGCATCACGTAGGTGTACCCTAGTTGGCGGGAAATGTGCCCTCACGGCGTGGTCTCTTGATTTTCCCAATTTCCGTAAACAACAAGACGAGCTTCGCATTCCCAGAATCAACATGGCGAGGGAATTGCCCTCGTGGGGACATCTGTGTGCATTCAGCGTCACTCCCGTCATCTCGTGGCCCTCGAGGACCATTTTGTGACCTTGAAATGGTCCTCAGAGGTCCATAATCCCCGAAATTCCGTGGAAATGGCCCAAAACGAGGGAAAAATCGAGTGGTTTCCCTCGTTTTTGTCGATTTGAGGGGCAAATCGAGGGGAATTTTCCTTGTCGATCGATGGAAATCGGTGCTCAGGGGCGAATAGAGGGGTCGGAGTGGGTCAATGCGGGAAAACAGAATGGGTTGTGTTTGGTAGTTCTGTTGTCGTTCGGTTGTTCGTGGAGTTGAGCGGGATGTCACGAATATTTGCCGCCCAGCCGATGTGCTCAGCCCGCCAAAGCCAGTTTTCGTTGATCTCCCAGAGCTCATGAGCCCATTGTTCCGTTTCTCGGGCTAGACAAGCGATTTATTTCCGCCGATTTGTCGTGATTAGCTTCGGGAATTACTCGACATCCAGGGGAGACGGAAATTATCGGGGTTTTTGGTCAAATATTGGTGTTTGGTTGGCGTTTCGAGGGATTTTTCACTTTTGAGGGTTCATTCGGCCGAGAAAATGGCTAAGGTGCAGCTGGCCAATGTCGCGGTGCTCGATAACCCGTCGCCTTTTCTCAATCCCTTCCAGTTTGAGGTGACCTTCGAGTGCATCGAGGAGCTCAAAGAAGGTAATTTACGCAGGGGAATTACCGAAATGTTTTTATCGTTTGGGATTTGAATTTTTTGGGGAGGTTAGGGGTCGCCCCACATTTGACTGGCAATAGTTCTGGGAGAAATGGTGCGATTTTGACGAATCAGCGCGCGTTTTTAAGAGCGGAAAATTGTGTTTAAAATGAAAGAAAAATTGAGGAATTTCACTCTACGGTTGTCGAGATATTGCCGATTGAAGATTAGTTATTTCGTCGGTTTTGATTTCGAAATGAGATGAAAGGAGATGGAGTCAATCGTTAATATTTTATGAACAAATGATGGGATTTTTGTGGGTCAGGGCTTATTTTGAAGATTGTAAAATTATCTTTAGAATGAAAAAAAAATTGGGGAATTTCACTCTGCCGATGTCGAGATGTTCGGGATTAACAACTACTTTTTTTCGTTTCGTTGCAGATCTAGAGTGGAAGATGATCTACGTGGGGAGCGCAGAGTCTGAAGAGTTTGATCAGATCTTGGACACCATCTACGTGGGACCTATCCCTGAGGGACGACACATGTTTGTTTTCCAGGTAATTTTTGTTTCTGAGAATCTGTTCATTATTCTCGCTTAATTCGATCGATTTAGGTTGATCGAAGAGAGTGTTTGTAAATATTGTCTCGTTGGCAAGGGAAATGTTGAAGTTTTCTTGGGAATTGCCTGAAATTTGAGGCAAGTGAAAACAATTGTCGAAAGGTTTAAGACTAGCACATTTGACATTTTGCATTTAGGGATTTTAATTTATTCAATTCAATTAATCCATTGATTCATTAAGTTCACTTGATTTAATTAATTTAACAGACGCCTCGTTGATGAGTGATTTTTAGAAAAAAAATTAAAAATATTTTTTTTCAGCTCTGAATTTCCACCACAAAAATTTTAATTAAAAAATGTCAACTGAAGTAGTTGATTTATTTAATTTTATTCAATTAATTCAACAGATGTTGTAATTAAAAAAGTGTCTCGTTGATAAATGTTTTACAAAAAAAAAAAACAAATATCAGTTTTCTAGGAAATTTCTTCACTTAAAAAAAAACTTTGACAATTTCCCCTTGAATTCTTAAATTTCATCAAATGAAAATTAAAAAACTCTACTCCGCATGACAAGATAAACCCGCTGCGTCTTCGTTAAAAGCATTTTTTCATCTCTAAATTCCCCGCTCAAGAATATCGATAAAACCGAATGGAATTTTCTTTCAGGCTGATCCCCCCGACGTGAGTCGTATCCCAGTGAACGACGCCCTAGGCGTAACAGTGGTCCTCCTGACGTGCTCCTACAGAGGAAACGAGTTCGTCCGAGTCGGTTACTTCATAAACAACGAGTACACAGACCCCGAGTTACGTGAGAATCCCCCAGCCCAGCCCCAATTCGACAAAGTCCAACGAAATATCCTCGGAGACAAGCCCAGAGTGACGAGATTCAAGATCAACTGGGACGATGGTGTCGGCTCCACAACAAATGGCAGCCAGGACGCCATGGAGGACCACACAATGGGTGACAGCACACAGGAGGCGTCATCCTCGAAGCTAGGCTTTAGTGAAAATACTCAAAACAGTATGGAGGTCATGTGAAACAAGATTAACCACTCCTCTCGTCATCTCCGGTGGACTAGACACTATTTAAAAATAATTATCCCGATTATCGAGGGACTCGAAATATTTAAATACCATTTTTGTTCATTTTTTCTCTCGTTTCATTCATCAGAGTGAGCTAGTATATTCTGGTGTTCATTATTAATTTCTATCACCCCCTTTTTTCGTTGTTTTTTAGGACAATTTTCCCCTGATGTTCTCGTACATTCTTCCCAACGGTTTTTGCCACTGATATTCGGCCACTATTACTGGAAATTCAGTGTATGAAAGGAATTTAAAAATAAAGTGTTTGTATATTTTTTAGAATAACGTGAGTGTTAATTGAGAGATAGTCGATTATTGCTGCTGGAAAGTGTCTCAATGCATTTTTCGATAAGTTCATTAAAATATTTTACTGATTAGTTATGGGTAATTGTGACAGACTGCATTTGAATGTGAAAATGGAGAAGTTGTGGATTCATTGTAGAGAGATAATTCGCCGTGTAAATACACATAAAATATGATTATCTTAATGGAGGGAATTATATAACACTTTTCTACGTAAAACAGGAACAACTGGAGTTTATTTTTATTTTTGTTATTAATTCCTTCGACAGTTAAAATAATGCATATCAAATGCATCTCGTTTCGTCTCCGAGTAAATACATCGAGATGTGAGGAAGATGAGTAACAACAGAGAGTTGTCGATAATAACACAGTAATACTGAAAAATAATATAAATTTTGGGGATTGATTCAGTGCTGATAAACGTGGAACTAACAAACATCTAACGTTTTCTGTGAGAAATTAGACAATAAATTTCACCGAATAGTTGTTCAATCTGAGGGAATGAAGATTGAATGGAGGAAATTAAACACTAGAACAATCTCCGAAGATTATGAATAATAAACATCGAGGGAATATTTTTACAGAGAAAAGAATTTCTTCGCTAAGGGATTAAGCTAATTACGTCTCATGTGCATTATTACGAATAAATCGACTGTTGGTGGACAGTCGGACATTTTCACTGATTTCTCTCGATAATAAAACACCAATTAGTGCTGAAATCCTTCCAGGATTCCCTCCTGGCTCATTAGACTATTGGTAGGGGGTGTGTTGATTAACATTGATCATCTCATTCGTGCTGGAATTAAAAATAGAAATGTCAATTAATATTGTTCTTGAGATGAAGCTATTTTAGATTCGTTTTATCATTTCAATGCGGAACTGGGTCTTTGCTCTCACCTCTTTGAACATTTAATGTGAATTATCAATAATGCAACTCCCAGAACTAGGCACACGCATCCTACAACGATGTATGCAATTCCCAGGAATGGATTTTTACCACCAAGAAGAGACGTCGTACTCAGAATCATGCGTTTACTTCCCTCGAACGAGGAAACTTGATAAGCTAAAGGAAAATGATCAGTTAGTTATTACCATTAACAAATTCTATTAGAATGGAATGGAATTATGATAATGTCAAAATTGAATTCAGCTTCATTTTGCAAATATTTCTCCAACAGAATCTATTGAGACTTTTTTAATGCAGAATTTCGCTTCAAATTTATTTTTAAAAAATTGTAAACATGACATTCTCCTGGTGTTGGTGAATTATTTTAAAGCAAAATGTTGAAGGATCTATTATGTGGAGAATTTTCTCGAATGCAAAAAAGCTCTTCTGACATTTCCCTAAATATTTTTGTAAAATTCATTGCAATCTAATGTATTTTCTTATGGCTCCAAAGGGATTTTGTCTTGGAGTGGTTTTCTAATAAAGATAAACAAAAATGAAGAAGTCTAACAAAATTTACAGACTTAAATCGCAAATTTCACCTCAAATAAACTTTAAAAAAATTGTAAACATGAAATTCTCTTGACATTATGTTTTCCGAAGACAAAATTAATTATTCTACGTTTCCTCCCCACAAATTTTGATTTTCAAACAATATTTTAATTATGTTATATAAAAAAATCATCTTATTAATGAATACTTCCAAGCGAAAATGTCAGCAGACGTCTTCCGCAAATATTCTCATCTACAAATCATCCCCTGCCATTTCCCCAAAAAATACTCACAGTAATTAACACTCAAGATATAATCCCCCTTCTTCAGTCCCTTGAACAACGGCTCCGTATGATTGATCCTCCTGTACAATTTCCTGAACGTGGGTAGTGCAGCAGTCCTCATCCAAACGATCAAATCCTCATTCTGAAATCCATTATTACTCGGATCCTCTTCGTCCAACTGCCAGACATATTTCGTCCAATTCCTGGGTTTCTCGTAGTCCTCGAAAGCCTTGGTGAGATTGCCAGGTGGATTTTTGAACTTGATATTCTTGTCAGAGGGCCAGGCAATGCCAGTCTTGATGAGTGGAATGGTCTGTCCCAACTCCACTGAAAATAAGCTCAACTCGTCACTGAAGAGGGAATTGGCGATTGCTCCACAAGGTGCAACAGCTTTTTTCGGTACAACAGTTTCATTGTAGGCGAATGGCTCGCAGTCAGTGGAGACGTCGTAGCTGAGTCTCCCCAGGAGTTGATTGTCATCCCTCGATTTGACGTAACGTCTGTGATTCTGGTAGAAATTCGTCAGGCCGTAGTACATGTAGACGTCGGCCTTGAAGTCGTGCTCGAGGCGAAAGGTGACGTTGCACTGGCAGACACTCCCAGGATTGTTGAAGATAACGTCCGAGCATCTTCGGTTCTCCCGGAGGGATATGCAGTTTGTGTAGTCGACTGCGTACTCCCGAACCTCGTCGGAGAAGTACAGGAGACCGATCCCAGCTGGAATGAAGGCTATGCCTATCACGAAGAAGGTGGGGAGGACTGTGCCTGCTGTGAGGATCGGCTGCCACGCGGGAAGACGCTGTTGTTTGAAGGCACTATCTGTTTTTCGGGAGACTCGGTGAGAACTCATCGACGCATTTGTTGAAAACTTATTTAAAAATTCGGTGGCGAAACGGGAAAACGATTCGAGTCGATTTTCACTATTGTCTTAGGGTAAATAGATCGACGCGGTGGGAGGAAGGTGAGCAACGACAGAGATTTGTCGATGATAACAGGCTGATACTGGGAAATTATATACATTTTGGGAATTGATTCTGTAGCGAAGTGCTTGAAACGTAATAGAGTGAAGTTTGTCGAATTTTTACGGCTCGATGACGAGTGATTGTAGGATAAACGTAGAAGTAAGAAATATTTAAGGTCTTCTGGGAGAGATTAGAACTTAAATTTCAACGAATATTTGTTCAATTTGAGGAATGAAGGGTCCATGGAGGAAATTAAACACTAGAACTATCTCTGCGGAAGATTTGGGGAATATTTTTACAGAGAGAGGGTGGGGTAAATGGCAACTTGAGTTTTAAAGAATGTTGATATCTTGTCAATGAAAATTATAAAGATAATTATGATGAATATATGTGATGGTAGCTATGGGACTGTTATATATATAAAAAAATTGAATGAAACTAATCTTGTAAATAACAAATATAAATAATATACGGAAAAAAAAAGATGAATAATTTAATTAAAAACAAACAAAATACTGAACAAAACAAATACGTGAACTGAATAATAAATAAAAACTAATCTATAATGTGAATAATTTATAAGATTCATTTGTAATAATTTTGTTATATTTTGGTTTTCCCTCAGGGAAATAATAAATTGCTTGCAATCTAATCTCAAAAGCAGGTTTATCAACTGAGCGTAGTCTAGGTTCGTCACAAAAGGGAAAAATTGTTCGTTTTATTGAGAAAAAAAAATTCGCGTTCATCAACAATCGAACATTTCATTAACATTATAAAAAGTTAAGTGTCCGTTTTACCCCATCCTTCCTTATCGTATCAGTTTTTTCAGCGCAATGACCTCGAAATGATAACTTCTGGGTAAACTGAGTCACCTTCAAGAATATCATTATCATCACTGAATCATCTGTCCTTATCACAAATAGATTTCTACGAAATTAATTAGGTAAAATGAAAATACTTTATCCACCAAAATTTCTTTTGACTTCATTCTTTTTACGAAATAATGTTTTGATTAATGCGAAGTTGTGATGGTCTTCACGAAATGATAATCAATTCTTCCAAGGTGAGTCTAGAGCTGTCAATATTTGTACTCGTGACACGTGAAGAGCCCTCGCTCAATTAAAAATGAGAAAATCCGGGAATTTTGCAAGGAAATCTCGAGGATTTTTTTATTTCATCGATTCTAATCCCCCCTGGGGCCTTTAGATTCCACTCCAGATAATAGGAATCCTATTTTCTGTGATTACGTGAGGTTACGTGAGGGGTAACAACACTTGACACTGTATTGACACGATTTACCTGATGGTTTTTTGGTTTTTGGTAATGAACTTGTTTCACTAACACTTGTCATGGTGACAGTCGAGTCCTCAGTCTCGTTTATTTACTAATATATTCGGTTACTCTAGGTTTTTGGTAATAGATAAATATTTTTCCTCATTTGTGACACTCGAATAGTGGCCTGCTGCGATTACTAAGACGACCAATCGCAGTCGATGGGTCGAAGACGACTTCAAGAAGCGAAACGTGGGCGGGAGAATTGAATCCACAACACGACATAATTATTTATATTAAGAAAGTTTCATACTGACGATAATTTTCATATTGAGCCTAAATTTTTTATTTATTTTTATGATGATTTGGGGGGACGATGGGGGGGTATAGGGACCCCAAATTCGGTTTTAAGGCTCTATCTCTCATAGTTTCCGAGATAATCGCGAAAAACGAAAATGCAAAAAAAAATTAATTTAATTTATCTTGTACAGGCTGTA